AAGCGCTGCTTTGTTGCTGTTGGGCAAGTCGATCTTGCAGACGACGTGCGTGAAAACGCGCAGAAATAAGTGCCATGTCCTTCAACATGGCTGGTGCGGTGAGTATGCGTGTGTGGAAACACGCGGACGAATATTAGGATCGTCACCATGTTGTACTCTATTATTTCCTTTCGCTTTGTGTGGTGTGCTAACCCCTCAGTTGCCCAGGCACGAGCAGGGCAGGGGAGTATTGACGCTAAGCCCTGCACGCGCCTGGTTTCGCATGTAGCAGCCCTATGCGGAGTAGTGAGACTTCGCATACCACATACCGGTTTTATCTGTATTGCGGTATTCGCCAAGTACACTCCAATCTGTGCAATTCGGTATGCACATTTCGACATTGGACCAGGGAAGGGATGACATTGCACAAATGCGTATGTGCAACTGTGAGTGTTGCAACAACCTGCGCAACTACTCCTTGGCAGGTAGAAATACACCTGACGGTATTTTCACCTGATGGTATTTTCACCTGGCGGTGCCAACCTGGAACCACATACTAGAGTAGGTGCTTGCATGTTCTCCTTGAACAACGTTCTTCACTATGCTTCTCTATAAGGTTCATGTTGTTCTGTTGTAATCTATCAATATAATCAATTATTCAATTTCGTACCTTCAGTTATTGCATACCAACCTTGGCATCAGTATTCGGTTTCCAACAAGTCTGTATTCGGGTTACAAGCATCCACTTTGCAACTATGCGCCAAGGCTCTCCCACAATCGCCTATTCTCCGCACCGTCAACGCTAGCAATTTGGGCATAAACATATAAAAACCCTCCAGAACAGGCATGTCTTTCGAATAAGTCATCAACCCTAAACAACATGTCTTTTCCAAAGACTTCTATTTTTTTTCGATGGGAAGCTATCGATGGAGTCATTTACACTAAACACAATTCGGAAAGTGTTTAGGGTTGATACTAGGGCTGATTTTATCAGGGTAATTACCCTGATTTCAGGGTGATTACAGACTTGTCAGCTTGTGGTCCCTGCAATTTCAGAATTTTGGAGTTGTGAACACTGATCCATTCAGAATTGTGCTTTAGCGAACCCTGACATCTTGTATATAGGCTCAGATGAGTGTTCTTACTACCTCTGTCAATGTAGAGTACGCGTCCTGTGGATCCTGAATGCGAGGGTATCGGCACGAAGGTTCCTAGAAATTTCGTCCCATAACCCCCCATGTGCGTAATCATGACTTCGTATGCACCCTTGTGAGGGACCCCTTTTCACGCGGAGGACTGACGTAATATTGACAACAAACCCAACACCACGCTGTACAGCACCGCTGTCAACTATGACAGCGCAACCAGAAAATGATTGTTTGCTGCCACGCGCACCGCGCAATGCCCAGCATGACTCTGTCATTGGCCAGGGAGGCATCTTGACAGTCGGCGGTGGCAGGCAGGCAGGCGTTCAATGTATTCGGCCTTGCATCAAAGCCCGAATTCATTGACGACTCGAGCCATCAAATTCGTGGCATGGCGACGCGGATGTTTCTTGATGATTCCGCCATCTCCAACCTTCTCTTCCTTCCCCCTACCCCCAGCCAGGCTCGTGGAAGTGCTGCTGTATTTTTCATTTCGTCCGTTCTTCCTCCTCCCATCTCTCGTTCCACCTCTCTTCTATCTCGCCGCCATGGAAGGCCTGCCGGACGACGATGCTTCTCCTCTGGCTGGCCCAGATGAGCCACCTTTACCGGCAAAACTCATTGAGCCTACCTTGCCGGAGAAAGCTTCAGGTGCCCCCCGCTCTGGGCTGGATTTTCTTAGAACTAGCGGTGCTCCACTAACGCCCGATCCTCCTAGGTCTACCGTTCACGACTCTGCAGCTAGAGTAACCGCCACTTCGCCTGACTCTCCCCATCCTGCCGCCTTCACTCTACCCCCGGCAGTTGCTTCTTGCAGTAAGGATCCCCCACCGCCCTCGCTGAGTCCAACTCCAAGCACGGTGCGGGTGTCCGTTGGTCCGCCGCCTGCTTCTTCCACTCCCAAGCGAGCGCGATCTGGGAAGTGGGCGCAGAGTACCCTGGTTGTCAGTGGCCGCTGTGTTCCACAGCCCGATAAGCCGGCTGACCGTCCACCTGATGTCGCTGAGCTCGCGGAGGAAGGTGATATCCCAGTCCGAGCGAACACTGGCTCGCCCGAACTCACCAAGATGCAGCTGAGAGAGCAGATGTACCTGGAGGCGAGTATCAACTATGAGACGAAGTGGTCGGGCATGTTTTCGTGACTGGTGTTCGGGAAAACTAAGGATAAATTTCCCTATGTGAAGTGAAGCATCTGCATGTCGTACGGCAAGGAGAACACGAAGTACGCTAGGCAAGGAGATGACAGTGGCCGTGACTTGCAAACGCAGTCGTTCAGGGCGCACGAGCACACAGACGCACACACGGCGGCGGTGGATCGGCAGATGAAGATTGCGCAGGGCATTCGCGAGGGTCAGCAGGTGATTTCGGACTTCATCAACTCGGACATCGAGGGGCGGCGCGCGATTCGACTCATGCGGTCGGTTCAGTTTCTGTGCCCGTGCGACGCGCCGATCAGCATGTTCCCGAAGCTGATGTGGCATCTTGCGGAGCAGGACACGCTTGACATTCCGCGGTATCCTACACGAGTCATGATACCGTATGTAGGTTATGAATACACTGTTTCATTCAATTTTGTTTCATGCATGTCTGATGTTTTAGCTTCCATAAATTTTACCGATTATTGTACAGTAACTGTAGAGAACGAAGCCCACCCAGCTGGTCATACAATCTACCACGTAAACGTCGGCATCATGACAGCTCAAATATGAAATGCAGAGAGATACTTCACATCCATGCACATTCATCATCGTAATGCAGGCAGAATACATGATGATAGCACAGAATTGGGTGTGCGTGCAGTGCAGAGAGGGATGAAGCGAGGAGGAGACGAGGGCGTCAGGCGGAGGGCAGCAGCAGCGCAGCAGCAACGGACCGACCCTCCTCGTTGAGCACGTTGAGTGTGGATATGGCATGGCGCTGGTGGGGTGATGGGGGAGGAGGGGAAGAAGGGAATGACGGAGGATAGATGTGTGCATGGCTACGGCATGTCCCCACTTGTTGAGGATGTTGGGTGTGGATATGGCATGGCGCTGGTGGGGGGATAAGGGGAAGGGAAGGGGGCGGATATGAAGGAGGACAGGGATAGCTGTGTGGCGATGCCACGGCCCTCCTCGTTGAAAACGTTCAGCATCGCTATGGGGTGGCGCTGGTGGGGGGTGGGGGCAAGGAATGGCGGGAGGGACAGGAGGTAGGAAAGAGATCGACGTGTGGATATGGCATGGGCAGGGGAGACATGAAGGGCTATACATCCTCATTGAGCACGTTCAGCATCACTATGGCATTTGGCTGGTTTGGCGGGGAGGAGGAGGGAGAAGGTGGGATGGGAGGACGGAAAGAGGTGGAGGTGCGGGATTGGCACGGATGGCCGTCCACGTTGTGCGCGTTGAGCGTCGCTATGGCGTGGTGCAGAAATGATGGGGGAATTGGCGTGGTGCAGAAATGATGGGGGGATTGGCATGGTGCAGAAATGATGGGGGAATTGGCGTGGTGCAGAAATGATGGGGGGAATGGCATGGTGCAGAAATGATGGGGGGAATGGCATGGTGCAGAAATGATGGGGGGATTGGCATGGTGCAGAAATGATGGGGGGATTGGCATGGTGCAGAAATGATGGGGGGAATGGAATGGTGCAGGAATGATGGGGGGAATGGAATGGTGCAGGAAATGATGGGGGGATTGGCATGGTGCAGAAATGATGGGGGGAATGGCATGGTGCAGAAATGATGGGGGGATTGGCATGGTGCAGAAATGATGGGGGGAATGGCATGGTGCAGAAATGATGGGGGGATTGGCATGGTGCAGGAAATGATGGGGGGATTGGCATGGTGCAGAAATGATGGGGGGATTGGCATGGTGCAGAAATGATGGGGGGAATGGCATGGTGCAGAAATGATGGAGGGAATGGCATGGTGCAGAAATGATGGGGGGATTGGTATGGTGCAGAAATGATGGGGGGAATGGCATGGTGCAGGAAATGATGGGGGGATTGGCATGGTGCAGAAATGATGGGGGGAATGGCATGGTGCAGGAAATGATGGGGGGAATGGCATGGTGCAGAAATGATGGGGGGAATGGCATGGTGCAGAAATGATGGGGTGATTGGCATGGTGCAGAAATGATGGGGGGATTGGCATGGTGCAGAAATGATGGGGGGATTGGCATGGTGCAGGAAATGATGGGGGGAATGGCATGGTGCAGAAATGATGGGGGGAATGGCATGGTGCAGGAAATGATGGGGGGATTGGCATGGTGCAGAAATGATGGCGGGAATGGCATGGTGCAGGAAATGATGGGGGGATTGGCATGGTGCAGAAATGATGGGGGGATTGGCATGGTGCAGGAAATGATGGGGGGATTGGCATGGTGCAGAAATGATGGCGGGAATGGCATGGTGCAGGAAATGATGGGGGGATTGGCATGGTGCAGAAATGATGGGGGGAATGGCATGGTGCAGGAAATGATGGGGGGAATGGCATGGTGCAGGAAATGATGGGGGGATTGGCATGGTGCAGAAATGATGGCGGGAATGGCATGGTGCAGGAAATGATGGGGGGATTGGCATGGTGCAGAAATGATGGGGGGATTGGCATGGTGCAGGAAATGATGGGGGGATTGGCATGGTGCAGAAATGATGGGCGGAGGGGTCAGGGGATTAGGGAAGTGATAGGAGTGGTGCTGTGCGGTGGTAGGAGTGGTGCTGTGCGGTGATAGGAGTGGTGCTGTGCGGTGATGGGAGTGGTTCTGGGCAGTGATAGGAATGGTGCTGTGCGGTGAAAGGAGATGAAGAGTTGCATTGATGTTGTTAGATATGTAAGACTTGGGTCAATAATTGAAAATTCGTTGGTGTATAAGGGATCATCCCCCATCCATCCAACCTCATGCCACAAGCCCAAACCCACCAGCACCACCAGCTTTCCCATCCGTAGCAGAGGCACTCACAGTGGAGAGCACTTCGAGCTTCATGCCAGCACTACGAGCAGGGCTACGAGCAGTAGTCTTAATGCTACCAGCACTAGCAGCTGGCAGCTGTACCGCAAATGCGTTTTGAGTGAACTTCACGATGTGTTTTGAGTCGACTCAAAACATACCAGCACTACCAGCACTACCAGCACTACCAGCTGTACTGCAAGTGAACTTTCACGATGCTCAAAGTACAGTACTGATGGGGCTCGCTGCACTCACAGTAGAGAGCACTTCAAGCTTCATGCCACACGCCCTCACAAACTCCCTCAGCTGCCCCGGCACTGCCTGCATGCGCTGCCCCGTGCCCAGCAGGAGTAGCTCTGTGCAAGACGGGTGGTAGTGGGAAGCAGTAGGCGGGTGGGGAAGACGCTTTTGAAGGGAGAAGAGGGGAAGGGAGGAAATGGTTGCTTTCTATGCCTTGCCCATTCCATGCCATGCAATGCCCATGCCATGCCCATGCCATGCCTCTCATGCCATGCCATGCCATGCCATGCCATGCCATGCCATGCCATGCCTCACCTTTTGAAGCTCAGACATGGCATGCCCTACAAGGCAGCAGCACAGCATTCACAACACACCACACACTCAGCACGCCCTCTTCAAGAGCAATCCCAACGAGGTGACTTTTGAGTCGGCTAAAAAAAAAATCACACACTCAGCACGCCCTCTTCAAGAGCAAGCCCAACGAGCAACGTCGCAGGCAGCACAGAGCATTCACAGCAGCCTGGCATTCAAAAGGGCATACCTGGTTGCGGGCGAATGAGCTGAAAGAGAGCCAGGCTGTGTGGAAGGGACAGGCAGGGGCGGCAAGGGGGTAAAAAAAAGGGACGAGAGTGGAGGGGATGAAGAGGGGTTGGGCAGGGAGTGAGGTGTAGGTAAGGAGAGAGTACGGGAGAGAGGGTGGCAGGTAAAGGCTAAACTGCAAGCCCGGGTGGGAAATTGGGAAGAAATGGCGGGACCCACAGATAAGCCACAGGAAAATGGGGAAAATGGACAGAAGGCTTAAGCGGAGACCACGCAGGTTGCTTGGTTTGGCTTGGGTAGAGAGCTCGCATGTTGTTTGGCGTATGAGAAAGAGGTGGTGGCAGGGCAGGGAGGGACGGATGGAGACGAGTGAAGCGAGGGGGTGAGGAGGGCCAAAAGCACATTGTGGCGGGGTGGCAGAGAAAGAGGAGGACGGAGGTGCTAAGGGCATGCGAGGAAGAGAGAGGCGAGTGGCGCGACGCGAGAGGATGGAGGAGGACGCAGAAAGGAAGGGAGACCTGCCATGTGCCGAGAAGTCATGAGCGCAGCAAATGCATGAAGGGAAGAAGGAGTGCCATGGAATGGAAGACTGACCAGCACCAGCAGCAGTAACAGCTCTGAGGTTACAACCGCTGCCACACCCCTCTCCCCCCTCCCATCCCTCTCACCCGCCTCAACCATATAACCCCTCCCATCTCTTCGCACTCGCCCTTCACCCCTCACCTGTCGGGGGTGACGTCAGCGAGGCAGGAGGGCGACCAGCAGAGCGCCACGTCACCCACACAGAGGATGGAGGAGTCCAGGTCCCTGCCGCCCACTGTGAAGCCCTTGTCGTCGTACCTGCAGCGGGCGTGGGCAATGGGTACAATGGGCGCAGTGGGTGCAGGGGATGCAGTGGGTGCAATGGGCGCATGGAAGGACACGATATGTGTGAGCCACAAGGCCAGTCCAAGTCCCTGCCGCCCACCGTGAAGCCCTTATTGTCGTACCTGCGACAGGGGAGTGTGGGGGTGCAGTGGGTGCAATACAGAGGGGGCATGGAGAGGTAGCATCAGCACGAGCCACAAGGCCAGTCCAGGTCCCTGCCACCCACCGTGAGGCCCTTGTCGTCGTACCTGCGAGGGGGGAGTGGGGTGGTGGTGCATGGGGAGCGGAGCAGGGGAGGAGGGTAGAAAAAACGCAAAACGTGAGGCACTTTTTGAGTCCAGCTCCCTGCCGCCCACCGTGAAGCCCTTACGACGGTACCTGCGATCGAGGGGTGCGGGGGTGGCGTGTGGAAGGGAGTACGGATGCATAAAGGAATAAGATCAGCATGAGCCACAAGTCGAGTCCACGTGCCGCCCACCGTGAATCCCTTGTTGTTGTACCTGAGGGAGGGGAATGCAAGGGAGCAGCGGGTGCATGCATGGAAAGAGGTGCCGGGCTTGGTCAGACTTGCATGGCACGGCACGGCACGGCACGGCACGGCACGGCACGGCACGGCACGGCACGGCACGGCACGGCACGGCACGGCACGGCATGGCACGGAATGGCACGGCACGGCACGGCACGGCACGGCACGGCACGGCACGGCATGGCACGGAATGGCACGGCATGGCACGGCATGGCATGGCACGGCACGGCATGGCACGGAATGGCACGGCATGGCACGGCATGGCAAGAGTGGGTAAGCACGCTCGTGTCTCTGCCGCCTGCTGTGCAGCCCGTGTCAATGCAGCTGTGGTGGGGAAGTAAAGGTGTAAACGAATACCATCATATTCGTATTCGTATTCGGTATTCGACAAATACCAAATAAAAAACGAATACGAAACACCGCCTATTCGACTTTTATTCGATAACTGACTATTCGACATATTCGGTATTCGCCAGCCGAATATTCGGATATTCGTATAAGTATTCGACTATTTCAATCAGTATGCTCCTAGATTTCTGAAGGTGCGTTTCTTATGTTTCACTCTTATCATCAGCAATGGAAGCACCGGCGGTGCTTACGGCCTATTGAGAACCCTGGCCCAAGGTTCTGTGTATGGTAAAAACCGTATTCGTATTCGTATTTGACACAGATCCAGGTATTCGAACAGTATTCGTGAACCAGCTATTTGAATCGTATTCGGATTCGGTAGAAGGGGGCTATTCGGCCAAATACGAAATTGCCTACTATTCGTAAAATATTCGTATAAAAATCCGTATTCGAAACCGTATTCGTTTTTACACCTTTATGGGGAAGAGACGTTACGGCGTGAGCCTGGCCGTGTAACACGGGCTAGCTGAATGAAAGGTGTAAGGGAGCGGGAGGGAAGGTGGGAGGAGGGAGGGAGGGAGGGAGGGAGGGAGGGAGGGAGGGAGGGAGGGAGGGAGGGAGGGAGGGAGGGAGTGAGGGAGGGAGGGAGGGAAGGAGGGAGGGAGGGAGGGAGGGAGGGAGGGAGGGAGGGAGGGAGGGAGGGAAGGGAATGGAAGGGGTGGGGAAGCGTCACTCACGCGGTGATGAACACGTACCCGAAAGTCTCAGCAATGAGCTAGATGGGGGAGAGCGAGATGGGGAGAGAGCGGGGAACAGAGCGAGGGAGGGTGCAGAGAAGAGGAGCGCGGGGGGAGAGGCACTCACGCGGTGATAAACACGCGTCCGCTGCTCTCCGCCGCCCCTTCCAGCACGTTGAAATTAGACGGCTCCGCTGCTGCCCGCGCAACGGCGGACGGCGCGGCTGCTAGGTTGATTCTAGATGGTCCGGCCGCCAGACCCCTTCGTTGCTGCTGCTGGTGGGAGTGGTGAGGGTGGTGCTGGTGGTGGGAGAGGGAGTGGGAGGCGCGGTGGTGGTATCTAAGAGAGGTGGTCTCATTTTTCTCAACCGATTGGTGCGGCTGTGCCGCCGCATGTGCGGGTGTGTCGCAGCCATCCCCGCTATAAGGTCGGCCGTTATACGTGGATTCACTAACCGCGCCTACAACGGCGCCGCTAAGAGTCGGCGCCCCGGAGGCACTTGTGGGCGGCAGACGAGGCGACGCGCTTGCCAGTAGTGGACGGCACAGCGCGCCGAGCTTCGATCGCGCAGTCATGGCAGAGTACGTAATATAAGGCGCGCGGGGTGGAGGAGGGAGCACGAGAAAAAAGGTGCAAGGAACGGCCGCACGGTTGCGGAAGCGAGGAAAGGATGTGGGAGGGGTGGAGAGGAATGGAGCGTAGCGCGGAGAGATGTGACACGGCGGCGAAAAGTAGCAGCAGCGCGCGCGAGAGAACGGGATGTGCGCGCGTAGAGCGGGGCAAATTTGAGAGGAGCGAGGAGATGAAGCATGGGATGGGATCAGCATGAGAGACAATGCGGCAGAGACATACTCGGTACAACTGGTTGTTATGAGTGCGCGGATTTCACAACCTAAACTGAAATGCACTCGAAGCGAAAACTACAGAATACAACTGAAGACTACTGAATGGGAGACCTACGAGGCCTCATTTATAAAGGCAGGTTCGAGCTAGGCGTGAACCTCGGGCTCAACGAGGCTCGGATGTTTGGCGAAAGGTGCGGAGGGCGACTCGGAAGTGGTTCGATCTGAGTTTGTAGGCCGAACCAGCTGACGCGAGCCGCTCGGTACATAGCCACCAAAGTGACTACAGTTTGGAATTATGATTTCTTACTCCGATAAGAATAACAGCTGAATAAGAATTTGCAGATATATGAAACTTGAAGGATGGTTGATAAGTTGATTAACTGTAGCGTTATGGAAAGACGATTCCTTATCCAATCAAAAGACCATTTAAATAGCTGAGCAAAAAATTAGCAAAAACAACAAAACAACACACTCCCTCTCAATTTCCTCCAAATCAGGGCTTCCTTTCCAGCACCGACAAGCCTTGACATGACAGGGCACCTCAGCACCTTGATCAGTCAGCACCAGCAATCAAGCAATCACAGTACGGCTCGAAACATCACCCCTTGGCCTCCACCACCACATGCCCACACAAGCTTTACGAATCACATGAATCTCTAAGCGTCACTACCAATCAGCTCCCTCTCAATCTCCTCCAAGCTCCGCCCCTTGGTCTCCACCACACACGCGCGCACAAACACCACCCCGACAAAGCACACTGCCGCAAACCCCACATACGCCGCCGCCACACCCACCACCTTCACAAACCCTAAAAAGGAGAGGCCTATAACGAAGTTGCAGAGCCAGTGAGTGGTGAGCGCTGCTGCCACAGCAGAGGCGCGGATGTTGGAGGGGAAGATCTCGGGGAGGAGTAGGGCGGGCACGGGACCAGCCCCCATGGCGAAGGAGAGTACGTAGGCGACTGTTCCCAGCACAGAGAGCGGGGCTGCTATTGGCTGGAGTGGCGGGAAGGAGAGGGTGAGGGCTAGAAGCAGCATCGAACAGCCCTGAGGGAATGTGGGGTGAGGGATGGGAGGGGGAGGGGGAGAAAAGGGATGGGATGTAAGAGCCATGGAGTGGAAAGGGGGTTGCAGAGGCGCGGATGTTAGAGCGGAAGATTTCAAGGAGGAGCAGCGCAGGCACGGGGCCGGCCCTCATGGCGAAGGAGAGCACGTAGGCGCTGGTGCCAAGGAGGGAGAGCGGTGCTGCTGTGGGCTGCAGTGTTGGAAAGGAAAGGGTGAGTGCTAGAGGAGCCCTGGATTATATGACGGGGTGGAGAAATGAGATTGGGAGTGAGGAGGAAATGGGAGAGGGAGGGGGAATAGGGCTTAATGGATTGACCACGCAGTGGGCAACAGTGCCAGGGACAGAGAGTGGGGGCAAGTTATAGGCTGGTGAGGTGGAAGGAGAGGGAGAGGAGAGGGCCATTATGATCAATAGATAGCCCTGGTGAAATATGGAGGTAGGCAGGGACGGGAGATGAGAAGGGATTAGCAAATTAAACTGCTGATAACATTGATCATGCGATACAGAGGTAGGCAGTGCCGCACTGGTGTAAGCACTGGGGTGAGATGTATGACAGTTGGTAACAATCGCAGCAATTGAGAAAGAATGAGCATTGATATGTTACTTGATGTCATGCAACATCAAGGTGCCATGCCATTGTGCACGCCATCATACATGCATGTCACCATGCCCCAACACCATAGCATACTCTCTGTCTGCCATCATCACCGCGCCCTATCATGCCCCACCACCCACCACCGCAGCCTACCATGCCCCACCACCCAGCACCACTTCCTACCATGCCAGTAAAGGAACCCATAAGTAGGCTCTTGCGGCCCATCCGATCCACGAGGTTCAGCGATACTGCCGTGCCTGGCAGGAAGGGTGGATGGTTGAATGGTGAGGTGGATGGGCAGGGCGGGAGACGGGTGGTGCAGAGGAGCAGAGGGAGAGTGAGAGGGAGGGGAGAGGACCCCGTAAGAAGGCTCTTGCGGCCCGTATGATCCACGAGGTTCAGTGACACTGCCGTGCCTGATTGGTTGGTGGGGATGGATGAATGGGGAACAAGTGAGTGGGAGAGACTTGTGTTAGCAGATCCTCCAGTGACACTGCTATGGAGAGACATTCTCCAGTGACACTGCTATGGAGAGACATCCTCCAGTGACACTGCTATGGAGAGACATTCTCCAGTGACACTGCTATGGAGAGACATTCTCCAGTGACACTGCTATGGAGAGACATTCTCCAGTGACACTGCTATGGAGAGACATCCTCCAGTGACACTGCTATGGAGAGACATCCTCCAGTGACACTGCTATGGAGAGACATCCTCCAGTGACACTGCTATGGAGAGACATCCTCCAGTGACACTGCTATGGAGAGACATTCTCCAGTGACACTGCTATGGAGAGACATTCTCCAGTGACACTGCTATGGAGAGACATCCTCCAGTGACACTGCTATGGAGAGACATCCTCCAGTGACACTGCTATGGAGAGACATTCTCCAGTGACACTGCTATGGAGAGACATTCTCCAGTGACACTGCTATGGAGAGACATCCTCCAGTGACACTGCTATGGAGAGACATCCTCCAGTGACACTGCTATGGAGAGACATCCTCCAGTGACACTGCTATGGAGAGACATCCTCCAGTGACACTGCTATGGAGAGACATTCTCCAGTGAGCAGCAGTGCTTAAGGTCTAGGCTTAAGCAAGTAGGAACGAAAGTGTAAAAACAAACACTAGCTAGTGGCACGGCCGTGCCTGTTGGTGGGACGGATGGGCAACAAGTGAGTGGGAGAGACGGATGGAGCACATGAGAAAGAGAGAGTGCGACGTTAGTGAGGAAAAGTGGATGTGGATCGGGTGATCACATTCTGAGGCGTCTCTGAAACTGAAACCCATGAGAAGGCTCTTTGGGCCGTGGATCTGGTTTTGAGCGACATGCCGTGCCTGGCGCTCTGGGCTCTTTGAGCTCTTTGCTCTTTGAGCCCTGCTGCTGATCCACCTGGCTCAGCGACATGCCGTGCCGTGCCTGGTTGGTTGAATGGATGGATGGGGAGTGGAAGAGAGGGTGTGTGGTGTGTGTGTGGTGGATATGGAGTGGGAGAGAGGGTGGAATGGATGGATGGGGAGTGGAAGAGAGGGTGTGTGGTGTGTGTCTGGTGGATATGGAGTGGGAGAGAGGGTGGAATGGATGGATGGGGAGTGGGAGAGAGGGGTGGTGCACATGCGCAAGAGAGGGTGCGACGGTAGTGAGGGAAAAGAGGATGGGGTGATAAGAGAAAGAGAAGGAGAAGGAGAGAAAATCTATCCTTCCCGAGAGGATAGTGACTCAGGCTGTATGGGTATAGGACGCGAGGGGGGCAATGGAGGGGCAAGGCAGGGAGGTAGAGAGGCAGAGAGTGGATGGGGGCGATGGCGTGGGTGGGTGGGTGTACAAGAACAGGAAACACCCACCCACGCCATCGCCCCCCACATGCTACCATGTGGAGCGCAGCTGCATACGAGTAGTGTCGTAAATGGTGCTAACTGCGCCATGCCCCATGCCTCATGCCCCATGCCTCATGCCCCACGCCTCATGCCCCATGCCTCATGCCCCATGCCTCATGCCCCACGCCTCATGCCCCACGCTTCATGCCCCACGCCACATGCCCCGCGCTTCATGCCCCATGCCTCATGCCCCATGCCCACGGCGGCACTGGCAGCAACGTCGGACTGCAGGCGCAATGTGCCGTGCGCCACGAGACATGTGTGGTACTACTGTGGCTTACCTAACCCTCTCCCTAGAACGATCAGCGCACCTAGCACGTTAGCCAGGGCCACGAGGGCGCTGGCAGCAACGTCGGATTGAATGCCGGCGGAGCGGAAGACAGAGGAGGAATAGTAGATGATGGCGTTGATGCCCGCGAACTGCTGCACTGCGAACAGCGCCATGCCCAGCAGCACCACTGGAGGTGATGAGGGTTGGGAGGGGTGCGGAGGAAAGGGGGGGAATGGGGGAGAGGAGAAGGTGGAGCGGGGGAATGGCGGGGGGAAGAGGGCGTGCCCAGAAGCACCTCTGGGGGGTTGGAGGGGGGACGAGGGGAAAAGGGGTAATGGGGCACGGGGACGCGGGTTCGGGTGGGATAACGGGATGTGGGGAAGACAGAGGAGGAATAGTAAATGATGGCGTTGATTCCGGCGAATTGCTGCACTGCGAACAGCGCCATGCCCAGCAGCACCACTGGGGGAATGACAGGCGGGAGGAGGAACAGGAGGGTAGGGGGGAGGAACAGGAGGGTAGGGGGGAGGAACAGGAGGGTAGGGGGGAGAAACGGGAGAGCGGGGTGGGGGTGGGTAAACCACAGCGGAGAGTCAGCAGAGGGGGAGGGAATGGCAGACAGTGCAGTGAGAGAGGCACGAAAGGAACATCATTAGACCCACAGGGATGGAGAAGGGGTGGAAACGGAGTGAAGGGTTGGGAAGGGAAAGAAGAGTTTCGAATCAAAGGAAATGAAGGGTTGGGAGTGGTGGTCAGCGGTGGCTGGGCTTGGCTTACCTGTTGAGGTTTAGAAGCTGCTTGGTAACGGAACGCAACAGTACCTTTGCGGTAGCGTTTAGAGAAGAGTGTGAGCAGCAAGGCAGCAGGTGCTTCATCCGCTGCTGCTGATGCCCCCTTGGCAAGCCCGCCCTTACCTTTGCGGTAGCGCTTTGAGAAGAGGGTGAGAAACGGAGCAGCAGGTGCTTCGTCCACTCGTTTCCTCGCCACACCTGCCTCTGCCTGCTCCAACCCATCCACTGCTGCTGCTGCTGCCTTGGCAGAGGCAGGTTGAGGCACGGAGGAAGAGGAGGAGAGCTCAGCTGCTGCTGCTGCAGCCTGGGACGGACCCAGCAGGCGCTTCAGCTGCCTCTCTGCCTCGTCGCTCCTGCCCACCTGAGAAGAGAGTTGGGGGAAGGGTGGGGGGGTGTGCCATAGGAGAGAAGAGGCGGAAGGAGAGGAAGCAAGAAACTCAGCAGAGAGCTACCGGCACTCAGCTTTACCTGCCTCTCGGCAGAGGGTTACCAACCCAGCAGCCAAGGGAAAAGGGAAGTGAGGGGCAAGCCACAACACATCCAAAACACATTCATGGTATGGCATACAGGCATCCAGGCATCCAGGAATTCAATCGCCCCTGCCAGCCACTCCAAAACACATCCAACCAACCATGCCATCAATGTGACTCAACATGCAATTATCCCACTTTAACCAGCCATGCCACCAAAGTGACTCGCACATGCAAGCGTGCCACCTTAACTCACCATGTGGGCTCTCAGGCGCCCATGTCATGCCCGCACTGCATCCCCCCACCCCATGGCACCGACACACCCACAGCACACCATGCCATACACCCATCTGATCGCACAACATGCCATGCACTCATCCCACCTTAGCCAGCCATCCAGGGCTCTCAGGCGCCCACAGCATGACAGCAGCACACATAAGCACATGAATTCACCGCACAACTTGCCATGCTTCCACCGCACCATGCCATGCCCACTCATCCCACCTTCTCAAGCCATCTGAAGACAACCCATCCCACCTTAGCGAGCCATCTGGGGCTCTCAGGCGCCCACAGCATGCCTGCAGCCCACACAAACACACGCCACGGCTCCACAAACATGACATGCACCCATCCCACCTTAGCGAGCCATCTGGGGCTCTCAGGCGCCCACAGCATGCCTGCAGCCAGGGCGGCCGCTGGTGCCACTCCAATCCAAAACATCTGCCGCCACCTGATTGGTGGAGAGGCGGGAGAGGAAATGGAAGCAGGAGGGACGCGAAGGGACAGACAAGGTACATACAGGGTTGACTTTTGAGTCGACTAAAGAGGATAGGCAGCATCTAGGGGCAGGGCAGGGCCCCACATCCGTGGGGAGGCTATTGGCCCGAGTCAAGACCGTTCAGGTGCCGTGACTTCACAAGGCAGCAACTGATGCTTGGGAACTGTGTTCATACACAATGTGCCGACAGTTGGGTCATAAAGTTTATGAACTCACCAGTTTGCTTGCTGCCGACCCTTATGAGAAAGGTGGCTTTTGAGGCGCCTCAAAAGTCAAAAGTCTTTTTGAGGAGAAAAACTTGCTTGCTTGCTGCCGACCTTTACGAGAAAGTTGGGGGAAGATGGTTTCAGAATAAACTTTCTTCAGAACTGCAGCCTGAAAAGGCTTCTATCGTAATGCATGGGGAGGGAAGTGGAAGGCGAATAGCCTTAGAAAGTGCAGCGCAGTGCAGTGCAGTGTACCAGGCGGGGTTGGCAGCGAGGGGCAGGCCGGCCAGCAGCGCAGCAAGGATGCCGACACAGATGGCCAGCTGGTTCAACGACCCCAGTCGCCCCCTCACTGATGCTGGCGCTATCTGATGGCCGGGGGATGGTGGGGGGGTGGCGGGAGAGGCAGGATAGGGAGGAGAGGGGGGAAAGGGAGGAAGAAGGTTGCATGAAGAAACGTCAAGCATGGTGTCATCACACAGACAGACCGGAGAACAGAGGAACAAAGCGCAGACAGCCAAGCATGTACCTTTAAGATGTAGATGGGCAGAGAGGCGGGCAGAGAGGAGGGCAGGCAGAGAGGTAAGGGGGGCACGCACCTCGGAGATGTAGACCGGTACGACACAGGAGATGACGCCAAAGGCCAACCCTGTGAGCGCACGCCCCACCAGCATCTGCGGCACTGATGACGCTGTGGCACTGCCAGGTGTGGAGGGTGGTTGGGGTGGGGTGGGGTTGGGTGGGGTGGGGTGGGGAAGGTGCAGTGCAACCAAAGGCTCCTCAGACTTCACCTGCCTTGCAGCAGGCAGGTACCAGGCGGCGTGGCAGCATGTCGGCAACCATCATGGCAAACAAAGATTCACCTGAGCGCGCTCCCGAGTGCGAGGGGCAGCGAGAGCAGCAGGAAGGTGGTTCGCCGGCCCACAGAGTCTGCGAGCCAGCCGGCTGAGAGCGCTCCACACGCTGCTGTGAGCAGCGATGCACTCACCACCCAGCCTGGCGGGGGATATGGGAAGGGGGAGGCGCATGGGGAGGCGAGTAACAGTGTGCGGGCTGAGAGGTTCTCTTACTGGTGTGAGGCGAGGGAGAGGAGAGGTGCAGGTCATTCGGAGAAAGCGCCAGGGGTGATGTTCTCCGCGGCGAGCAGTGGGAGCAGCAGGCGGGCCGCAGCGGGGGTGACGGGATGACAAGGAGAGGCAACAGACCGTGAGACAATGTAGTAGCAAGAGGCGCACACACACACACACATGGAAGCCGTAGAGTACCTCCAACAAGGGAGTTGCCAGGGGCGCCGATGCTGACTAGGATGTGATCCAGCGGTCCGTTCACGACACTGCCACGCATGAGCGGGAACGAGAGGGGGCGGGAGGGAACGTACAATGGTGAATTGTGAATAATTGCCTTGTTTGTGAGGGTGACACACAGGTGAGGCTAAGATGGTTCTGCTCTGGAATGCAGTGGAGTGGACGAAAACACACAGGCAGGCAGGCAGGACACCCAAGGCGCGGCGGCCCAAATTTGTCACACCGCACCGCTACGGCGGTGCCACGTGTCACAAGCGACATCTGTTGTGTTGTTACTAACCCATCGCATCCATGCACACTAAAACGGCCACCATGCGACAAACCTGATGTGGTAACCGAACGCGAATGCGCCAATGCACGCCACCAGCACAGCTGCCAGCACCATGCCTCCCCCGGCTCCCCCTGACTCTGACTCCGCCCCACCCGCACCACTGCCGCCACTCGCGCGAGCCGCTACCGCCCTCCCCCTGCCGCCTCTGCCGCTGCGAAGCCCCGGAGTGGTTGACGCGCTGCCAGCGGCGGATCGAGCGGCAACTGCGCCCCCGGGTACCGCGCCGGATACGGCGGCAGATGCGGCGCCAGACGCAGCGGAGGCACCAGGTGGGGATCTCAAAGCGGTGGCGGTGATTTTGCGAGACATGAGCGATGCGGGGACGACGGCGGGAGATGCGAAGACTTGGACGAAGTGGGAGGCGGAAAGTGGCGTATTTTCGGCGAGGTCGCGAGGGGTATAGGAGCGGCGAGCGACGGATCGGTGGGTATGACGGACGAAGGATTTGAAAGACGGAGACGATAACGATAACGTTAACGAGGCCGGAGACGGAGATAACGGGGTGGTTGTTCCTCCCTGACTACGGTTGCGGGCTGAGCGCGCTGACAATGCCGTTGATGGCGAAGTTGACGGTAACTGTGAACTTGACGGCGGGGGAAGAGCGCGCAACGATGTCGCCGCGCTTGGAGCGACGGAGGCAAGCATGATGAGAGGCGGCCGGAAAGCCCGCAATTAGTCTTGTGCGCTACCTAGCAGCAATACCGCTACCATGTTCGCGCCGCAACCCAAGTGCTCAAGCAGGCAGAGGCGAGCTTGAGCAAGAAATGCATTCCCGCTATTGGCGAGTGCCGCGAGCGCTAACAAAAATATTTCGTCTACACGATAGCAAATCTTGAGAAGTGGTAACGTAATCGACCATAGTACAATAACAAGGGGTTTCCTACATAATCAGAATAATTCTTACACTACCACAGGTTCAATACAACTAAACTTCAGAACCTAAAAACGCACACCCAAAGCAGAGGGGTCATGAAAAACTACCATACCATACGTTGAAACTATGCTCATAGCTTGCAAAAAGGCCTTAGGAGCAGGTACAACTGACCATCATGCTTTTGTTAGAACCGTCCTTTGTACCTGAACATGTGCGCCTCGTCCTTGTCAACACTGTACCCCTCCATCAGCTTCTTATTCACACTGCTCATCTTCTCCCTCATATTCTTCGGCTGCTTCTTTCTGACATATCGCGTTTCATACCGAGTTCGTAGTCCGCTCTTGGCTCGCCTCACATGCTCGAGCGGCCCATTCCTCACAGACACCCCCTTCCTCTCCCAGTAGTAAGAGCGGTCCACCACACAGTAGAGCGCCAGGGCGGGGCAGTCCTGCCGCAGTGCAGCCAGTGTGGTGGCGTCACTCGCCTTGCTAGAGGGGAAGAAGAGGAACCGCAGATTCGGAGCGCCGATGGAAGGCGGCTTGGCACAAACCTTCTCTTTCTTCTGCTTGCGGCCTCTTCCCCCTCTTCCTCCATAACCCCCCCCCTCGTACTCGTCATCTTTATCATCATCATCATCCTCATCCTCCTCATCCTCCTCGTCGTCATAATCACCACCAAAGCCACCGTCCTCATCCAAATCATCATCATACTCCCCATCATCCCTGAACGCCCTGTAATTCTCCACAGTTGCCTCCCAGTCCTCATTGTGCGGCCCATCCGCATGCATGACAATCCCAAGGCTGCGCAGGTTCCTCCAGACCACACCCACCTCGTGGATTGGAATCCCATGCCTCACTACAAGCACCTCCACGTTTTGCGCTATAGAGCGCAGCCATTTGGTCCAGGAAAAGCTGGAAATGCCGTATGGAACGTGCTGCCATTCGAGAGGCAGCTGGTAAGAGATCCCAGGGCAGCTGGACTCCTCATCACTGGCCGGCCCGTTGAGGTACACGGCTCGCGCAGATGCGAGGCGGAGGGAGGAGATTATGAGTCGCTCCTGGCCGTACAGCGAGAGGTGGTCGAGAGCAAGAGGGGAGCTGCTCTTGCAAGAGAGCACGAGCCACTTGGCCATCACTGACAGGGTCTTGAGTGCGGGCGAGACGGTGAGAGTGAGCTTGAGCTCGTTGCTGGCGAAGCGGAAGCGGAGAAGGCGGGCGTTGGGCAAGGAGAATTTCATGCTGTGGGAGCCAAAGAGGGGCCCGCGGGAGAGGTGATAGTGCTGGTAGAGCGTAAACTCGTGCAGCTGCGGCGTGATGGAATCCAAATACTCGAAGCTCAAGTGGCTGGTGTCCACGTGCTTCAGAGTCAGGCAACGAATCGACTTCATCCAGGATGCATTCGCACAGCTCTCATCAAGGTTCCACATGCCGCAGCCCAGCTTCAGGTGATGCAGGCGTGTCGCAATTTTTGAGGAAGCTGAGGGTCCAGTCCTTGTACTCCTGCTCGTCGTCGCTGTCTACAAACCCGCGCAGCTTGATGCTGAAGGAGGAGAGGGCGGGGCTGCAGCGAGCGATCGAGGGGCGGAGGGAGCGGAGCTGCTGCACGTCTGTGAAGATGAGGTGGAGGGAGGTGATGTGCTGCCCGTGGCGGGTGAGGAAGTAGTGAATGGTCTTCTGCCAACGCTCGTCCTCGTACACCAGGGAGAGGGGTTGTTGTTCCTGCACCAAATGAAGATGGGACAAATTTGATTATGAGTACTTGATTCGCGAGTTTTAAGATAATTACTTGATGTCTGTTGCTCGCATGTTCAAGGTGTACATGCTTGTTGGGCAAAAGCATGCATATATGAGACATTAATTGCTTTCTGAGAGGTTTCATTCAGGATCACGGATAGCTGCGAGAAACAGTGAGGAACTCAAACGACTTGAGGAAAGACATGAGATGATTGAAGAAACACGAAGATAAGTTTAGAGGAACTCACAGCGAAGGAGAGGACATGGTGGAGAAGCCTCTTGCTGGCGAGAGCACAGCAGAGCAGAGGCCAGGAGGAGCCATAGCTTCTGACATTGATATCATACTGGTCGCTAGCGGAGGAATGATGGTGAATGAACATTTTCTTGAAATCCGATCGGTCGTCCGGTTCCTTCTTCGAAAAGTCACGTCTTGGGTTGAACAATCGCGAGGCGGCTTCGGTTTCGTCCGCTTGGGGTGGCTGCAGAAGACCGAGGAATATTTTGTGCCAGAGGCGAGCTGGCAGCATGTTGACCACATCTCGGCGGGTGGTGGCTGAAGGGTGAAACGGATGGGGTGTGAAAATCGGGACGGATAAGGAGATGAATAAGAAAAAAGCAAGAACGGTTTGTGAAGCCTTAAAGTGACTTTTGATGGAAGAAAAAACAGAAAGTGAGAGCAATAGGCATGAAACCAGTAAGGGAGAATGGGAGTCACGCTCGCAGCAGGGAGAGCGGAAGAGGACGGCGTCAGAACTTGAGAAAGAGTGCCATATTCATACGCGAAGAACCAGTAGAATGGAGCTCTAGAGGACGAACCGGACTGCATTGAAGAGGAGCGAAGTGACACGATAGATAGGCGGCAGAGTTTTGTGCGAAGAAATAGGACGGAAGCCTAGAGTTCTTGCTGCTCTCCCAAGCAAGTGCTCCAAACTTGAGCTCCTTAGAAATCGTTTCCTTCCCATTATCTTGAAAAGCACTACAAATTTGTAGCTATCGATGGTCCCGACATTTGTGGGAAAAGGGCTTTCAAACGCATTCAAACGCATCAGGTTAGACTGATATATGGCCCTGTTCGATAGCACTTCGGGCCCCCTCGATGCAACCATTTGGTTTGGCTCTGTCGCCCAAATGGTTCAGCGTCGCGACAAAATGCAAGTGGTTCAGCCGCGCCGGCAGTAAAATTATTGCGACCGTCCCACTGCCGGCTCAATCAACCAAATACAACGGCCAACATGGCCGAAAACCACCACCTCAACGGCCCATTGAAGGGAACTGTTCCTCGTCGAGGGTTCCCCCAGATGTTACTGGGCCGGGGGAAAAAAGGCCAGGAAAAATGTTAACGACAACAAAAAAAATAGCCCGACAACGCACAGCTCCTCCCACAAATTTGGGCCCTCACGATGCAACCATTTGGTTTTTTTGTTACACTTCATTTGGGCAGTTAGGCTTAGGGAAACCTGTCGTTTAGACTATCCCTAAATACCCCATTGGTCTGGCACTGGGGCGACTGTTTTGAAAATCAACATTGGTAATGACCCCACAATGGTCTGGTGTTTTACTAGGCAGGCCCTGTTATCATTAGGCGGTTGTAACTGTTCCTGCGCGCTGTGAGGTCAAACTACCACGTTGAAATACCCGCCAAGTTTTTGCAGTAGCGCGGGAAACCTAGGGGGTCGCAGGGGGGTCGTTCGCGCTGGCGGGAGTTTTTTCACATCGCATGGGGTCGCAAACCGTTTCCCGCCACACCAACAAGGTCACCTCAATGATTTTCGGGCGTGGTCACCCTCGCTATCGAACAGGGCCTATGTAAGTTTTCTATGCTGGATCTTTTCGTCGTCAGAGAGGGAACGACGAATGGGAGCGCCAATGAGATTGCAGTGGCTGGTAGTCGTCGAAACGCAACCAGTCTCTTCACATTCTTCGCGCTCACTGGTGATGGGAATGGCAGTCCCGAGATTCCTGTCTAGGCCAGGTATGCTGCTCGGCTGAATGTGATGTTCCCAAGAATGCTGAATGTGATGTTCCCACGAATGCTGAGCTGACAACGCTGCCCAGCGCTGCGGGGTTTCACATTTCAGACCAGGCGGGAAACTGAAATTCGCTGGTTGCAGTGCCTGGGCTAGGACGTAATCTCAAAAAGCTGAGTCTAACCTTGTATTATATGGCAATGCCAGGATCATTTCGTGCTGACTCACGGGGATGAACTTGACTCGAGGTTTGTTTTGTGGTTCTTCCGGGAACACTATCTGCCAGACGGGCAAATCTGTCCCGTCTGCGGATGGAATTGGGCTCTAACTGGAATTGGGGTGACTTTTGAATGCTTCGCTACAAGGATGACGCATCTACAGAGCATATTTCATTTTCTCTGCTAAGCATGATATCACCACCAAACAAATAGTTCGAGGGCGTAGGGTTCAGGAATCAGGGCTCTGTGCATCAGCCCACGTTCCCTGCAGGACTAAAAATATTTAGTTCGATTGCAGTGGTTAGTCGACAGTGATCCTCATTCTCCACATGGGCTCCTTGGTTCGACTCAATTCTCGCTAGTGCGCATGTGACTCGGAAAGCGCGCCACGGTTATCGCAGCGTGTTAAGACGCCATCGTTCTTCACCGCCGTTCGTTTCGTGGGCACCTCAACACTCTCTGTTCACAACGGGGAACAATTCAGTGAATGTCATAGAGACGCGGGAGCATTAAAAAAGGGCTAGGAAAAGAGGGATTTTCAGGATCGTGGAGAGCACGCAGGCAGTGCAGTGAGGTGAGGAGTGAGGAGCATGCAGGAAGGACGCTTTTGGGTCGACTCACATGTCAATGCCATGCACAGCAAGGCACCCACCAGGCGACCTCTGAGTCAACTCAAAAGTCACCTGTGCAGGGTGGCACCCACCAGGCGGGGTTGGCAGCAAGTGGCAGGTCGGCGAGCAGAGCAGCGAGGATGCCGACACAGATGGCCAGCTGGTTCAGTGACCTTTGAGGTGCCTCAAAAATGGCCCCCTTCTGACTCACTCTTTTCCCCTGAACCCCCAAAAAGAGCAGTGGGGATGCCGACACAGATGTCCAGCCGGTTGAGCGACCCCAGGCGACCTCGCTCGCACCGACCGATGCTGGCGCTATCTGACTGATGGCCGGGGGATGGGGCGGGCATGGGGGGAGAGACAGGAGAAGCAGTAGTGGGAGGGAAAGGTAGGGTTGCAGGGTTATGAAACAATGCAAACCACGTGTGCCATTTAGGGAAAAGACTGGAGAACAGATGAACAAACAAACAGACAGAGGGGCACACACATTTGTGAGCGCCCTCCCCACCAGAATCTGCGGCACCGATGACGCTGTGCCACTGCCAGGGGTGCGGGGGGGAAGGGGGGGGAAGAAGGGCGACGCTGAAACAGGCAAAAACTACTGTTACAAGATGGGCAAAGGCGACGCACCTCCAAAACTGTTAACCCTGTGAGCGCCCTCCCCACCAGCATCTGCGGTGCCGATGACGCTGTGCCAGGGGTGCGGAGGGAAGGAGGAAGGGCGAGGAGGAAGGGCGAGGAGGAAGGGGCGAGGAGGAAGGGGCGAGGAGGAAGGGCGAGGAGGAAGGGCGAGGAGGAGGGGCGAGGAGGGGCGAGGAGGAAGGGGCGAGGAGGAAGGGGCGAGGAGGAAGGGGCGAGGAGGAAGGGGCGAGGAGGAAGGGGCGAGGAGGAAGGGGCGAGGAGGAAGGGGCGAGGAGGAAGGGGCGAGGAGGAAGGGGCGAGGAGGAAGGGGCGAGGAGGAAGGGGCGAGGAGGAAGGGGCGAGGAGGAAGGGGCGAGGAGGAAGGGGCGAGGAGGAAGGGGCGAGGAGGAAGGGGCGAGGAGGAAGGGGCGAGGAGGAAGGGGCGAGGAGGAAGGGGCGAGGAGGAAGGGGCGAGGAGGAAGGGGCGAGGAGGAAGGGGCGAGGAGGAAGGGGCGAGGAGGAAGGGGCGAGGAGGAAGGGGCGAGGAGGAAGGGGCACGAACTTCTGCCATGCAACGCACTTCCAACATGGTTGACTCAGACTCTGTTCGCGCTCAAGCCACTAGCATGTGCGGCAGCGATGGTGCTGTGGCGCTGCCAGGAGAAAGTGGGCGAGAGGGAGAAAAGGGCATGAGACAACAGGTAGTCATGATTGCACAGTAAGGGGATTTTATGGAGCGACAGGAAATGCTTGGAAGGTGGGGATTTGCCCATGCGGTGAGGCACATTTTGAGACGTCTCAAAACACGCTTGCAAGGTGGGTTTGCACATGTGGTGAGGCACAGGTGGTGGTGCAGTGGAAGGAACAGGGCGGGCCAACGAGGAGACAGTGTGTGTGTGCCAAGGGGCTATGCGCCCTAGGGCCTTTCAACTGCGAGCCATCTACCCTCCCCCCAGGCGCTTTCACCAGACGCACTCGGAAGTGCACTCAGGCAACGAGAAGGATTCACCTGAGCGCGCTCCACAGTGCGAGCGGCAGCGAGAGCAGCAGGAAGGTGGTTCGGCGGCCCACAGAGTCAGCAAGCCAGCCGGCTGAGAGGGCCCCACACGCTGCTGTGAGCAGCGATGCACTCACCACCCAGCCTGGAGGGGGGAATGGGTAGGGGGAGGGGAGGGGTACGGGGTATGATGAGAATTGGGCTAGGCGAGTAACAGTGGGGAGGGCTTAGGGGTCTGGTCACTGCTGTGAGTCCGCCAGCCGGCTGAAAGCGCTCCACATGCTGCTGTGAGCAGCGATGCACTCACCACCCAGCCTGGGAGGGAAGGGGAGTGGGGAGGGGCACGGGGGACAATGAGGCTTGGGGAGGGAGGCGAGTAACAGTGTGCGGGCTGAGGGGTTCTGTTGCTGGTGTGCGGCGCAGGCAGAGTAGCAAGAGGCGCGCACACACACATGGCATGGCAGCCGTAGCGTAGCGTACCTCCAACAAGGGAGTTGCCTGGCGCGCCGATGCTGACGAGGATATGATCCAATGGCCCATTCACCACACTGTCACGCACTGGCAATGAGAGGCGCAGAGAGATGGCAATGAGAGGCGCAGAGAGATGGCAATGAGAGGCGCAGAGAGATGGCAATGAGAGGCGCAGAGAGATGGCAATGAGAGGCGCAGAGAGATGGCAATGAGAGGCGCAGAGAGATGGCAATGAGAGGCGCAGAGAGATGGCAATGAGAGGCGCAGAGAGATGGCAATGAGAGGCGCAGAGAGATGGCAATGAGAGGCGCAGAGAGATGGCAATGAGAGGCGCAGAGAGATGGCAATGAGAGGCGCAGAGAGATGGCAATGAGAGGCGCAGAGAGATGGCAATGAGAGGCGCAGAGAGATGGCAATGAGAGGCGCAGAGAGATGGCAATGAGAGGCGCAGAGAGATGGCAATGAGAGGCGCAGAGAGATGGCAATGAGAGGCGCAGAGAGATGGCAATGAGAGGCGCAGAGAGATGGCAATGAGAGGCGCAGAGAGATGGCAATGAGAGGCGCAGAGAGATGGCAATGAGAGGCGCAGAGAGATGGCAATGAGAGGCGCAGAGAGATGGCAATGAGAGGCGCAGAGAGATGGCAATGAGAGGCGCAGAGAGATGGCAATGAGAGGCGCAGAGAGATGGCAATGAGAGGCGCAGAGAGATGGCAATGAGAGGCGCAGAGAGATGGCAATGAGAGGCGCAGAGAGATGGCAATGAGAGGCGCAGAGAGATGGCAATGAGAGGCGCAGAGAGATGGCAATGAGAGGCGCAGAGAGATGGCAATGAGAGGCGCAGAGAGATGGCAATGAGAGGCGCAGAGAGATGGCAATGAGAGGCGCAGAGAGATGGCAATGAGAGGCGCAGAGAGATGGCAATGAGAGGCGCAGAGAGATGGCAATGAGAGGCGCAGAGAGATGGCAATGAGAGGCGCAGAGAGATGGCAATGAGAGGCGCAGAGAGATGGCAATGAGAGGCGCAGAGAGATGGCAATGAGAGGCGCAGAGAGATGGCAATGAGAGGCGCAGAGAGATGGCAATGAGAGGCGCAGAGAGATGGCAATGAGAGGCGCAGAGAGATGGCAATGAGAGGCGCAGAGAGATGGCAATGAGAGGCGCAGAGAGATGGCAATGAGAGGCGCAGAGAGATGGCAATGAGAGGCGCAGAGAGATGGCAATGAGAGGCGCAGAGAGATGGCAATGAGAGGCGCAGAGAGATGGCAATGAGAGGCGCAGAGAGATGGCAATGAGAGGCGCAGAGAGATGGCAATGAGAGGCGCAGAGAGATGGCAATGAGAGGCGCAGAGAGATGGCAATGAGAGGCGCAGAGAGATGGCAATGAGAGGCGCAGAGAGATGGCAATGAGAGGCGCAGAGAGATGGCAATGAGAGGCGCAGAGAGATGGCAATGAGAGGCGCAGAGAGATGGCAATGAGAGGCGCAGAGAGATGGCAATGAGAGGCGCAGAGAGATGGTAGGCACACCTCCTACGAGGGAGTTGCCTGGCGCACCAGTGCTGACGAGGATGTGATCCAACGGCCCATTCACCACACTGCCATGCATGAGCGGGGAGTGCAGGAGGGTGAGAGACAGGAGGGAACGATTTTTGCGGCGCCTCAAAAAGAGATGCCTGGCGCGCCTATGCTGAGTGAGATGTGATCCAACGGCCCGTTCACCACACTGCCATGCATGCGCGGGAGAGAGGGGGCAGGAGGGAACGTGCGTAGAAAGTGAACCGTGAATTTTGGCTCTCTCACGTCGTTTGTGAAGGTGAGGCAAGGATGGTTCTGGTCTGAAATGAAGCAGAGTGGACGAAAGGACACAGGCAGGCATGCAGGAAGGAAACAGAAAGCGCAGTGGCCCAAATTTAGACACACACCGCACCACTATGGTGGTGCCACGTGTCACAAGCGACACCTGTTGTGTTTGTTACTAACCCATCACATCCATACGTATTGAAACGGCCATCATTCGACGAAACTAACGTGGTAACCGTCATCATGCGACGAACCTGACGTGGTAACCATCACCAGGCGACGAACATGATGTGGTAACCATCATCATGCGACAAACCTAATGTGGCAACCGAATGCGAATGCGCCAATGCACGCCACGAGCACGGCCGCCAGCACCATGCCTCCCCCCGCTCCCCCCGCTGCCTCTGATTCCCCCCCACCCGCCCCACCGCCGCCACTCGCGCGAGCCGCCACCGCCCTCCCTCTGCCGCCTCTGCCGCTCCTCAGGTCGGGAGTGCCTCCCGCGCTGCTGGCTGAGGATCGCGCCGCAACTGCGCCGCCTGGTACGGCGCCGGATGCGGCGCCAGATGCGGCGGAGGCACCAGGTGGGGACCTCAAAGCAGTGGCGGTGATTTTGCGAGACATGAGCGATGCGGGGATGGCGGCGGGAGATGCGGGGACTTGCGAGGCAGATGGGGAGTTTCCAGCGAGGTCGCAAGGGGCACAGGAGGGGCGAGAAACAAATCGCTGGGCCGGGCGGACAAAGGAACTGAGAGATGGCGACGAAAACGAGAACGTTGACGGAGATAGGAAGCTGTTTGGTCCTCCCTGTCTACGTTTCCGCGCTGTGCGCGCTGACAATGCCGTTGACGGCGAGGATGACGGTAACTGTGAAACTGCCGGCGAGGAGAGAGCGCGCAACGATGTCGGCGCGCTTGGACTGACGGAGGCAAGCATGATGAGAGCCTGCCGGATACGGCGCAATTAGTCTAAATTGGTTCTTACCGCTCCTAGTATGTTGGAGTCGTAATTTGGGTGCTCAAGCAGGTGGAGAGGTGAAGGCAGAGCAAGGAATGCACCCGCTATTGGCGAGAGTTGTGAGTGTGCGCGTCATTAGAATATCTACACCACAACAGAATATTCGGAAGTATTGATCACAAAGGACCATTTATTGTGAGAAAGGGATTTCCTACGTAAGGAAAAAAACGCTTACACTAGCAATGTTACGCAGTCTTTGCAAAACCAAACGACAGAAACTGAAAAACGCACAGCCAAATCAGAGGACCATGCCACACGTTAAATCATGCTCATAATATGCCATCATACTTGTGTTAGAACCGACCTTTATACTTTAACATGTGTGCCTCGTCCTCTTCAACACAGTACCCCTCCACCAGCTTCCTGTTCACACTGTACATCTTCTCCCTAACATTCTTCGGCTTCTTCTCAAGAAACCTATGCCGCAGCACCCCGCTCTTTGCCCGCCGCACATGCTTGAGCGGCGCATTGCTCACCCTCTTGCCCTTCCTCTCCCAATAGAAAGAGCGGTCCACCACACAGTAGAGCGCTAGGGCGGGGTAGTCCTGCCGCAGTGCAGCCAGTGCGGGAGCATTACACACCTTGCTAGAAGGGAAGAACAGGAACTGAAGATTCGGAGCGCGGATGAAGGGAGGCTTGATACTATCCTCGTCATCATCATAATCATCCATATCATCATCATCATACTCCCCATCATCCATAAACGCCCTGTCATTCTCCAGCGTCGCCTCCCACTCCTTATTATGCTCCCCCTTCGCGTGCGCGACAATCCCAAGGCTGCGCAGGTTCCTCCATACCACACCCACCTCTTCAATCGGGATCCCATGCCTCACTATAAGTACCTCAACGTTTTGCGCTATGGAGCCTAGCCAGTTGGTCCAGGAGAAGTTAGAGATGCCGTATGGAACATGCTGCCAGGAAGGGGGCAGCTGAGCAGAGAGCCTCGGGCAGCTGGACTCCTCATCGCTGGCTGGCCCATTGAGGTAGGCGGCTCGCACGGATGCGATGCGGAGGGAGGAGATGACGAGGCGCTCCTGACCATACAACAAGAGGTGGTCAAGAGCAAGAGGGGCGGTGCTCTTGCAGGAGAGAACGAGCCACTTGGCCATCATCGATAGGCTCTTTAGTGAGGGCGGCACAGTGAGCTTGAGCTTGAGCTCGTTGCTGGCAAAGCGGAAGCGGAGGAGGCGGGCATTGGAAAAGTTGAATTCCATGACGTGGGAGCCAAAGACGGGCCCATGAGCGAGGTGCCAGTGCTCGTAGAGCGTGAACTCGTGCAGCTGCGGTGTGATGGAATCGAGGAAGTTGTAGTTTCTATATCTTCTATCCATGTGCTTGAGGGTCAGACAGCGGATGGACCTCCCCCAGGCCGCGTTCGCACAGCTCTCGTCAAGGTTCCACATGCCCCGGCCCAGCTTCAGGCGCTGCAGTTGCGAGCAGTCGTTGAGGAAGTCGAGAGTCCAGTCTTCGTCCTCCTGCTCCTCGTCGCTGTCCACGAAGCCCCGCAGCTTGTTGCTGAAGGAGGAGAGGGCGGGGCTGCAGCGAGTGATCAAGGGGCGGAGGGTGGGGAGCTGCTGCAAGTTGGTGAAGATGAGGTGGAGGGAGGTGATGCTCTGGCCGTGGCGCGTGAGGAAGTAGCAAATGGTCTTCTGCCAGCTCTTGTCCTTGTACACGAGGTAGATGGGCTGCCTCTCCTGCACTTCATGGGGATCAAGGAAGTTGGGCTTTGTGAAACTGGCTGGTGTGTTCAATATAGCAAAAGACGGTTGTTGCATGTTTAAGATCTTTATGTGTGTTGGACTGAAGCAATACACATGGAGAAAGTCTTTTTTTTAGTAAGTCTCGATTCTTACTCAGAAATAGCTGCGAGAATTAGTAAGAGATGAAAAGAAAATAGATGAGGAACAGAAAGAGTTGATAGGAGAACGAGGAAGAGCAGAAGGCTCACAGCGAAGGAGAGGACATGGTGGAGAAGCCTCTTGCTGGCGATACCACAGCAGAGTAGAGGCCAGGAGGACCCATAGCTGTTGTCGTTGTATCTATGCTGATCACTGGCAGAAAAATTCCGGTATGTGAACATCTTCATAAACTCTGTTCGATTGTCCGGCTGTTGTCTTTCGTCTGACTGCTCCTCCGAGCTGTACCATAAGCTTTCAAATCCTGTGAGGCCTTGGGGTTTGTCCACTTGGAGGGGTGGCTGCAGGAGGCAGTGGAAGATTTGGTGCCATAGGGGAGCTGGCAGCATGTCGACCACATTATGGCGGGTGGTGACTGAAGGGTGAATGATGGATGTAAAAAAAAAGGGAGAATAACGACGTGAATGAGAGGACCACACGAGCGTTGCATCCCGTTTCAGAGAGAGAGAAAAGATGGAAACGTAGCGACGTATGTAAGATTGGCGCGAGAGTGACAGGAAGAACGAAAGTCTTACTCACGTGACTGAGCACAATGAGGAAAGGGGTGGGAGTGGGACGACGAATGACATCTTTTTATGTGAGGAACCAATAGGAAAAAAGGAATGAGAGTGGAAAGGGTACAAGGGCGAAGAGGAAAACTATGTAAACTGTTTCAGCCTACCACATGGCGAAGATAACAATACGCTAGATTTGGAAGAGCTACGGAATGGTAAAAGCGTGACGACTATGGAAAAAATGGATTCGCGTGGCAAAGAAAATAAGGACGGAATACTTGAGAGTTATTAGTAAAAAAGAATGATCGGAATAACAGCTCTTGCTGCTCGCTGCCTAAAATGTTATTTGCATTACTCTACCCGACATTAAGATTCTACAGCCTAATTATGGTGCCAACATTTGAGGCTGGACAAAGTACTTGTTTGAGATGCATCCGCTGAATTGAGACATTAACTACACTCGCGAATGTTCAGCTTTTGAAGAATCCAAAGCACGGACCTGACAACTCCATCGAAGCCGAGTTTGTTCGACGGGAGGGAGCGAATGGCGAGCGGGAGCACCAATTACCTAGGCGGTAGCGAGTAGTCGTCGAAGTGCTGGTACGTACTCTGTTCAGACCCCGCACACACAGTGTTGCTATTGCTATGGCTCCAGTATTCTGTTCAGACCCCGCACAGCTGTTGCTATTGCTAATTCTAATGCTATTGCTATTGCTATTCTGCTCAGACCCGCATAGACATTTGTGGGATGTGCCGTGGAGTTCTCAAGGAAGCTGGTCGCGGCGCTGCTGGATGTGGCTGCTTCTCGATTTTCAAACCAAGGGAAGGGAGAATCCGAATTTCCCCACAAATATGTCAGGGCAGGGGAGCGATCTCACGCTTCGCTACAAACATGACATTACGGCTCAGAGTGAGAAGCACCTTCCAGCTTATGAGTATGTTTGTATTCTTATTGAACCAAAACGTGTCATGATGTCATGGTCAACCCTGGTTTTCCAAGTTCCCAAAAAAAAAAAAAAACACTGAAAAACAGAGTACTAACATACAATAAAAAGCCTTGTCCTAGGGGCATCTATCTGGGGAAATGAGGTAGGTACCAACACAAGGAAAAATGCAAAGACGTGGAGAAAAAACAAATTCAGTAATAAATACTTCAGCCGTCTACCTACCACTATCACTGAAGACAACAAAAATCACTTAAGACGAAAACAATCAAGAAGTATCTGATGTGCGTGATGCGGCATCCCACAAGGCACGGGTAACCCCCTCTTCCACACGTCACCCTGTCTTGGTGCAGGAGCACTGGCAGCTCATGGGGTTGCTGGCACTCGCACAGTTGCAATCGCACGTCATCTTCACGCTGCCTCCAGTCGGGGGAGGCGGCGGGGGAGGAGTGCCACCCCCCCCACCGGTACTGTCAGCGGGAAGGGCGTTTTGCAGGACGCACTTGCTCTTGACGCGGTCCCAGTTGAGCTGAACAAGGAACTTCAAGCCATTCAGCCCCACCACATTGTACTCGTAGCTCTGCCCGTCCTGCAGGGATCCCGTCTTGGTGCTGCCGAAATTCCTCGCACACTTGTCGCCGTTCTCCTCGCCGTCGTCGTCAAACCACCCGGCGTTCGTATCCGGGTCGGTGGCAGCTTCGGTGAGCTCATGTGCGAGCGTGGAGATAATAGCATCGATGGCCGGCTTGCCGTTGGGTGACGTGCTCTTTACCCCGCACGCGCCGGGGCACTGCCCGTGGTGGCCCACAAAGGCGTAGCGCAGAGGCGTGGAGTTGAGGGAGTCTTGGGTGTGCCAGCCGCAGTACTGCGAGCAGAAGCCTGGCAGCGTGACATCGGCGCTGGGCAGCACCACGTAGATGCCCTGTGTGTCCAGAGCCAATGGTTTGCCCGCCCCCACCTTGCTCTTCACAACTGCATGGGCAGCAAGGGGGCGGGTGGAGGCACGGGAAAGGAAGAGAGGTATGATGAAGCAAGAGTGAAGTGAATAAGCAGCACACCGAAGGGCAGTGCAGAGGGAGTGGTGAGGAGCAGCACAGAGTGAGTGGTGAGGAGCAGCACACAGAAGGGCGGAGCAGAGAGAGTGGTGAGGAGCGGCACACAGAAGGGCGGAGCAGAGTGAGTGGTGAGGAGCGGCACACAGAAGGGCGGAGCAGAGTGAGTGGTGAGGAGCGGCACACAGAAGGGCGGAGCAGAGTGAGTGGTGAGGAGCGGCACACAGAAGGGCGGAGCAGAGTGAGTGGTGAGGAGCGGCACACAGAAGGGCGGAGCAGAGTGAGTGGTGAGGAGCGGCACACAGAAGGGCGGAGCAGAGTGAGTGGTGAGGAGCGGCACACAGAAGGGCGGAGCAGAGTGAGTGGTGAGGAGCGGCACACAGAAGGGCGGAGCAGAGTGAGTGGTGAGGAGCGGCACACAGAAGGGCGGAGCAGAGTGAGTGGTGAGGAGCGGCACACAGAAGGGCGGAGCAGAGTGAGTGGTGAGGAGCGGCACACAGAAGGGCGGAGCAGAGTGAGTGGTGAGGAGCGTTCTTCTCGCCTTGGAGCTCACGTTCTTCTCACCTTGGAGCTCACGTTCTTCTCACCTTGGAGCTCACGTTCTTCTCACCTTGGAGCTCACGTTCTTCTCACCTTGGAGCTCACGTTCTTCTCACCTTGGAGCTCACGTTCTTCTCACCTTGGAGCTCACGTTCTTCTCACCTTGGAGCTCACGTTCTTCTCACCTTGGAGCTCACGTTCTTCTCACCTTGGAGCTCACGTTCTTCTCGCCTTGGAGCTCACGTTCTTCTCACCTTGGAGCTCACGTTCTTCTCACCTTGGAGCTCACGTTCTTCTCACCTTGGAGCTCACGTTCTTCTCACCTTGGAGCTCACGTTCTTCTTCCCGCCAGCGTCGCTCTGGTAGTACGCGGCGCTGATGGCCCACCACGCCTTCACACTCGCGTCCGCCGCGCTGCCCTGGCTGCCCGAGTCGCTACTCAGCGACTGCACGAACGCGTCGATCACGTCCCTGCCCGACCCTGCCCCCCAGCTGCCGTAGTAGATGTGGTAAACGTTCACTGTCGGTGCGCCCACCATTTCTGGCCCGCCGTGGTACTTGATCGGCGCGCTTCCGGCCGGGGTGATGGCGCTCGTGCTGGCGCCGCCGGACGCGCCGTCAGAGGCGGCTAGCGGACGAGGGGAAAACCGACGGCTGAAACGATGCCGTCTGGGCCGCCGCGAACGACGGTGGCGGGCCGCTGCTGTTGCTGTCTGCGTAGTAAGAGCTGCGCATGTGCGTGGCGCGTGAGGGATACGCGCTTCCTCGGACCACCGGATTCTCCAATCCACTCCGATTCGGCTGGTCGAAGCGCGCCGGAGACGAGGAGCAGGACGAGCGCGAGGCGAAGGGCAGGGGAGAGAGCGAATGACGCGGCCATAATGGTGATGCCGAAAGCCGTCGAGAGGCGCGGCGAGTCGAAAAGCGTTCAGCGCGTCGTTTTGTGCGGAATGATGTGGGTGCTTCAAGGTATTGCGCTGTCTGAGGATCCAGCGGCGGGGCATGTTTACTATACCTAACGACGCTCTCACGAGACCTGCATTGGGCGCGGTGCGCCATTGTCGGGACTGCTAACGGGCAGACGTGTTTCAGACGCTCCAGTTGGAAGTGCTCGATGTTTCCATTGGTCGATAGTCGCCGCTACCCGGCAATGGCTACTGCGTGATTCTCGGTCGCCAGCTCGAGTCCATGTCTGGATCCGATATGGAAAGCAGAAAAGCAGGCCGCAGGGAGTGCGTGAGTTGCGAGGAAGAGCAGATGGAGGGGGATGAGTGGGTGGTGTGGAGTGCGGGAGACGGGTAACTTGTAACGAAGCGCGCGTCGCGAATGTTACTCGCAGGTCAGGTCACTTAGGCGATCGCTTCGTAGCCCAGCCTGTCTGGCGGGGATGGCGTCGCTGTTCACGAAGGGTATCTGCAAAAGATCAGGGTTTTCAAAACTTCGTTAGAAGCATGCGATATTTGTTCTAGGATCATAGGCACAAGCAGAGGCTACAACAAATACAAGCTTGTCAAATCTAGACATCCACCACACCAAGACATATTTTTCAGTGTAATCAGAAGTGGTAGGGGCCATAGAGTGGGGCTTTAGTTGAGGCTAGTGAATAACAGCTACGGTATGACAAACCGATTCAGACATACACAGCATTCCCAAAGCACCATCTTGATCGATATGTATTCACCTCGAATCGAAGCATCACAAAGAAATTAACATGGCCACAAAGAAACACCCATGACTGGAAATCATGTTCCAGCATGCATCTCCTAGAATCTTCCCTTGTACTTGAACATATGCGCCTCATCCTCCTCAGCACAGTACCCCTCCACCAGCTTTCGATTCACACTGTACATCTTCTCCCGCACGTTCTTCGGCTTCTTCTTGTCATCAAACCTATCCCGCAGCACCCCGCTCTTCGCCTGCCGCACATGCTTCAGCGGCGCATTGCTCACCCTCTCGCCCTTCCTCTCCCAATAGAAGGAGCGGTCCACCACACAGTAGAGCGCCAGGGCGGGGTAGTCCTGCTGCAGTGCAGCTAGTGTGGCGCTGTCACACGCCTTGCGGGAGGGGAAGAAGAGGAACCGCAGATTCGGAGCATCGATAGAAGGTGGCTTTGCAGGAGCCTTCTTCTTGCGACACCCTCCCCTTCCTCCACCGTAACCCCTCCCCTCATACTCATCATCATCATCTTCATCCTCATCATCATCTTCCTCCTCGTCATCATCACCATAACACCCACCCCAGCCACCGTCCTCATCCAGATCATCATCAAACTCCCCGTCCTCCATGAACGCCCTGTAATTCTCCACCGTCGCCTCCCACTCCTTGTTGTGCGGCCCCTCCGCATGCATGACAATCCCAAGGCTGCGCAGGTTCCTCCACTCCACACCCACCTCGTGGATCGGAATCCCATGCCTCACTACAAGCACCTCCACGTTTTGCGCTATAGAGCGCAGCCATTTGGTCCAGGAAAAGCCGGAAATGCCGCGGGGAACGTGCTGCCAGGAGGGGGGCAGCTGGTAAGAGATCCCTGGGCAGCTGGATTCCTCATCACTGGCTGGGCCATTGAGGTAGGCAGCTCGCACGGATGCGATGGGGAGGGAGGAAATGACGAGCCGCTCCTGGCCGTACAGCGAGAGGTGGTCGAGAGCAAGAGGAGCGGTGCTCTTGCAGGAGAGAACAAGCCACTTGGCCATCACTGAGAGAGTCTTGAGTGCAGGGGAGACAGAGAGGGTGAGCTTGAACTCGTTGCTGGCAAAGCGGAAGCGAAGGAGGCGGGCATTGGGGAAGGAGAAGGTCATAGCGTGGGAGCCAAAGACGGGTCCGCGGGAGAGGTGCCAGTGCTGGTAGAGCGTGAACTCGTGCAGCTGCGGCGTGATGGAATCAAGAAATTCGAAGTTCACGTGGCTCGTATCCACCTGCTTGAGAGTCAGGCAGCGGATTGATTTCAGCCACGCAGCATTCGCACAGCTCTTATCGAGGTTCCACATTCCTCGGCCGAGCTTCAGGCGCTGCAGGTGCGAGCAGTTTTGAAGGAAGCTGAGAGTCCAGTCCTTGTACTCATGCTCATCGAACATGGTTACGAAGCCCCGCAGCTTCAGTCTGAAGGAGGAAAGAGAGGGGCTGCAGCGAGCGATCAAAGGGCGGAGGGAGGGGAGCTGGTCCATTTCTGTGAAGATGAGATCAAGAGAAGTGATGTGCTGGCCGTGGTGGGTGAGGAAGTAGCGAATGGTCTTCTGCCAACGCTCGTCCTCGTACACGAGGGAGATTGGCTGTTTCTCCTGCACCCAGTGAGTATTGCAATAAATGGTTGCAAAGAAAGAAAAAGAAGGAGAAAAAGAACATAAGATCCAGTCAATGATGTTTGCTGCATGTTCAAGATGCTCATGCGTGTTGGACAAAAGCATGTGGTAAATGTTTTTGTAAGGTTTCATTCTGAACCATGGATTGCTGCGAAAAACAATGAGGAGTTCAGACAGCTTGAGGAACAAGATGAGTTGGTCAAGTGTGCGAGAAACGGAGCAGAGGACTCACAGCGAAAGAGAGGACATGCTGAAGAAGCCTCTTGCTGGTAAGAGCGCAGCAGATTAGAGGCCATGATGAGCCATAGCCTCTGGCATTATCTTCATGCTGGTCGCTAGCGGAGGAATTAGGGTCACAGAACATTTTCAAGAACTCGGATCGATTCCTTCTTCGAATAGTCGTACTTGAGCCTTTCAAACCCCGTGAGGCCCGTGGTGCCTTGGGGTTTGTCCACTTGGGGGGGTGGCCGCAGGAGGCAGTGGAAGATTTGGTGCCAGATGGGAGCTGGCAGCATGTCGACCACATCATGGCAAGTGGTGGCTGAAGGGTGAAAACGATGGGTGTAAAAAGGAGCTGAATCAGAAAACATCAGAACGGCTTGTGTAGCCTTGGAGAGTGAAATATGGGGACGGACAGACTGGAACTGAGAGCGACATGCATGAAGTTGCAATGGCAGGGAGAGTGAGAGTCACGCTCGAGTGACACATTTACACGCGAAGAGCTAGTGGAATGAAGAACTTGAAGAGGAAGAGATGGACTACATTGAAGAGGAACGAAGCCACATGAAAGATAGGCAGGGACAAGGGATTCTTGCGAGGAAATAGGATGGAAAAGTCACGTTGCACGGAGCTTCTTGCTATTTATTCACACCCGCTAAGAATCACCTTAGTAAACGTTTCCTCTGCGTTATCATGAACAGCACTAAGAATCTGTAGCTGGAAAATGGTGTTGGCATTTGTGGCTAAAACAAGAGCTAGTCTCACACGCAGAGACTTTGCGTTGCGAGCACGAACCTGGATCTTCCATTTACCAACGCTGGATTCTTCGTCGGTAGGGAGTGAATGGCGAATGAGAAAACCAATGGAATTGCAGAAGCTGGTATCCGTTGAAACGCTACTAATCTCGTCACACTTCGCGGGAATGGCGCTCCCAAGACAGTCTTGGGATTTGTTTGCACGGGAATCTGCGATGCTGCAATTTCAGTTCCCAAGCGGGAAACCGAAATCACTCGAGGTACCGTTTCCACGCCTGTTACAGTGATATATGTCGAGTGGATTTGGTGCTTGTTTCGCAACGCATAGGAAGATTTTTGACACGAGATTCTGTTGGTGTTCCCTGTACGGCACCTCGATGATCTCTGCACGAATTGTTATGGATGCATCGCTACAAGCATGATGCTGTTTCAGTTTAAGAGAAACAGAGTTGGGTTTGCTGCTAAAATTACACGTAAGTACCCCAGAGCAGGTGGGTGAGGGGGCTTTGGATCAGGGCTAAAGTTAGGCTTTTCGCCAACTCGGACGGTTTGGCTCCCCTAAAAAAAATGCCCTGAAAACACAGGGTCAGCCGAAAAACCTCTCGGAAATATCAGGGCTGGCCTAAAATTTCATCGTTTACGTAATTCGATAGTTCCGCAGCAATGGAGACTTCTTTCTAACAATAGCTATGTTGAAACTCTGTGTTGGTGCACTTGTGCTGGTTGCGCGTGGACCTCTGCTCACAGACAGCGAAAGTGTACAGGTGCCTCCGAATTTGACTAAGGAACAGAGGGGTGGGAGGAAAGCATTCACAAGTCCAGGAAGCGGGGGGAGAAGTCTACCTATGTTGGGGAGGGGGCGAGGTTGGGGGTGGTTAGAGCCTTAGAAAAAGTTCCGAGTCCTTGGAGGGAGTACTCGGATTCATCAGAGTCAGTCCTTGAAGTGCTCGGATTCAGTCAGGGCTGGCAGAAAAATTCCCCTGTAAAAATCCTAGTTCGGCTAAAAAATACCTTTGATTTTCAGTCAAGAACGAGCATTTACCCTGATAGCCTGAGCCCTGCTTTGGATTCAGGGCTCAATCCCGTGCGCACACCCAGCCCAAGCGGATAAATTCAGTAAGCAAGGTTGTTGCTTCTCGAACAACAGTCGTTTTTCTCCACATGCGCCCCAGTCGGTTTTAATTCACTGTTTTTGAGGCGCACGAGCGCGCCCTTGAGTCGACTCACAGGCATTGCACAGGGATCGCGCAGACATCGCACACGCATCGCACAGGAACCGCACAGGGATCAGTCGAGCGGTTGCCGCGATGGCGCGACGGCGCGCAGCGGGCGCGCGGGGAGGGGCAGCGACGCGCGGGGCAGGGAGGGGGTTCCCCTCTCTCGCGCGCGCTGCTGCTGCCTTTCGCCGCCATGTCACATCTCGCCGCGCTACGCTCCAATTTCCCCCACCCCTCCCACAGCCTTACCTCGCTTCCGCGAGCCGCGGCCGTTCCTAGCACCCTTCTCTTCCCACTCCCTCCTCCGCCCCGCGGCGTGCGTTATATCGCGTACGCCGCCATGACTGCGCGATCGAAGCTCGGCGCGCTGTGCCGTCCACTACTGGCAAGCGCGTCGCCTCGTCTGCTGCCCACAATGCCGCCTGGGCGCCGACTCTTAGCGGCGCCGTTGTAGGCGCGGTTATGGCGGGGATAGCTGGGATAGCTGCGAGACACCCGCACATACGGCGGCACACCCGCACCGATCGGTTGAGAGGAAAAAAACCACACCTCTTAGATACCACCAACGCGCCTCCCACTCCCTCTCCCACCACCAGCACCACCCCCACCACTCCCACCAGCAACAGCCGCGAAGGGGTCTGGCGGCCGGACCATCTAAAATCAACCTAGCAGCCGCGCCGTCCGCCGTTGCGCGGGCCGCTGAACCGTCTAACTTCAACGTGCTGGAAGGCGCGGCGGAGAGCAGCGGACGCGTGTTCATCACCGCGTGAGTGCCGCTTCCCCCGCGCCCCCCCTGCCCTCTGCACCCCCGTTCGCTCTCTTCCCCGTTCTCCGCGCTCTTTTCCCCTCTCGCGCTCCCCCCATTCCGCTCGCTCCTAAAATCAGCGGAGCAAACACTTATTTATTACCCGCCCCTTCCACTCCCCTCGGTCTTCCCTCCCTCGCTCCCTCCCTCCCTCCTCCCCATTCCTTTCCCCCCTCCTCCCACCTTCGTTCCTGCTCCCTTACACCTTTCATTCCGTCTGCTACATAGCCGTGTTACACTGCCGGTGTCACCCCCCCTCCACAGCCGCTGTGGCAGAGACACGAGCGTCGCAGTCGTGTGCGCTGAGTCATGCAGGGGACACATCAACTCCACTCGTGCAGCACAGTGCCTACCCACTGTTGCCATGCGGTGCCATGCCGTGCCATGCCGTGCCATGCCGTGCCATGCTGTGCAAGCCTGACCAATCCCATATCCTCTTCTTCCATACACCCACTGCACCCACTGCACCCACTGCACCCACTGCACCCACTGCACCCACTGCACCCACTGCACCCACTGCACCCACTGCACCCACTGCACCCATTGTACCCACTGCACCCATTGCACCCACTGCACCCACTGCACCCACTGCACCCATTGTACCCACTGCACCCATTGTACCCACTGCACCCATTGTACCCACTGCGCCCATTGTACCCACTGCGCCCATTGTACCCATTGTACCCACTGCACCCATTGTACCCACTGCACCCACTGCACCCACTGCACCCACTGCACCCACTGCACCCATTGTACCCACTGCACCCATTGCACCCACTGCACCCACTGCACCCACTGCACCCATTGTACCCACTGCACCCATTGTACCCACTGCACCCATTGTACCCACTGCGCCCATTGTACCCACTGCGCCCATTGTACCCATTGTACCCACTGCACCCATTGTACCCACTGCACCCACTGCACCCATTGTACCCACTGCACCCATTGCACCCATTGTACCCACTGCGCCCATTGTACCCATTGCCCACGCCCGCTGCAGGTACGACGACAAGGTCTTCACAGTGGGCGGCAGGGACCTGGACTCCTCCATCCTCTGTGTGGGTGACGTGGCGCTCTGCTGGTCGCCCTCCTGCCTCGCTGACGTCACCCCCGACAGGTGAGGGGAGAGGGGCGAGTGCGAAGAGAGTCAAGGGATTAGATGGGTGAGGGGGGTGAGAGGGATGGGAGGGGGGAGAGGGGTGTGGCAGTTGTTGTAACCGCAGAGCTGTCACTGCTGCTGGTGTTGGTCAGTCTTCCATTCCATGGCACTCCTTCTTCCCTTCATACATTTGCTGCGCTCATGACTTCTCGGCACATGGCAGGTCTGCCTTCCTTTCTGCGTCCTCCTCCCTCCTCTCGCCAATTGCCTCTTTCTCACCTCTTTCTCACCTCTTTATCACCTCTTTCTCACCTCTTTCTCACCTCTTTCTCACCTCTATCTCACCGCTTTCTCATACGCCAAACAACCTGCGGGTTCTCTACCCAAGCGAAACCAAACAACCTGCGTGGTCTCCGCTTAAGCCTTCCGTCCATTTTCCCCATTTTCCTGTGGCTTTTCTGTGGGTTCCACCATTTCTTCCCAATTTCCCACCCGGGCTTGCAGTTTAGCCTTTACCTGCCACCCTCTCTCCCGTACTCTCTCCTTACCTCCACCTCACTCCCTGCCCCTGCCTAACCCCTCTTCATCCGCTCCACTCCCGTCGTCTTTTTTTACCCCCTTGCCGCCCCTGCCTGTCCCTTCCACACAGCCTGGCTCTCTTTCAGCTCATTCGCCCGCAACCAGGTATGCTCTTTTGAATGCCAGACTGCTGTGAATGCTCTGTGCTACTTGCGACGTTGCTCGTTGGGATTGCTCTTGAAGAGGGCGTGCTGAGTGTGTGGTGTGTTGTGAATGCTGTGCTGCTGCCTTGTAGGGCATGCCATGTCTGAGCTTCAAAAGGTGAGGCATGGGAGGCATGGCATGGCATGGCATGGCATGAGAGGCATGGCATGGCATGGGCATGGGCATGGCATGGCATGAGAGGCATGGCATGGCATGGGCATGGGCATGGCATGGCATGGCATGAGAGGCATGGCATGGCATGGCATGGCATGGCATGGCATGGCATGGCATGGGCAAGGCGTAGAAAGCAACCATTTCCTCCCTTCCCCTCTTCATCTCTCATTTCCTCACCTCTCCTCTCCCTCCTCTCCTCTCCTCTATTCCCCTCTCCCTCCCCTTTCTCCTCCTCTTCTTTTCTCTCCTCTCCTCTTCTCTCCTCCTTCAATCTCCCTTTCTCTTTCCCCTTTCCATCTCTTGTTCCCTTCACTCCACCCCTCTCCTCTCCTCTCCCCTCCTCGTCTCGCCCTTGGATTCCCTTTCCCCTGCCCAACCCCCCCCCATTACCCAACCCCCTCTCTCTGTGCAGAGCTACTGCTACGGGGCACGGGGCGGCACATGCAGGCAGTGCAGAGGAGCTTTTGAGGCGCCTAAAAAAGCGTCTTCCCCGCCCGCCTCCCGTTCCCCACCACCACCCCTCCTGCACAGAGCTACTGCTGCTGGGCACGGGGCAGCGCATGCAGGCAGTGCCGGGGGAACTGAGGCACTTCGTGAGGGCATGTGGCATGAAGCTCGAAGTGCTCTCCACTGTGAGTGCTGTGTGCCCCGTGTGTGCTCCATGTCCGGTAAATGCCTGTGGTACAGCTGGTGATGCTGGTATCACTGAAAGTGCTGCGGGTGCTGGCAGTGCAGTGCAGTGCAGCACCAGGGGAGCTGAGAGAGTTCGTGAGGGCGTGTGGCATGAAGCTCAGAGTGCTTTCGATTGTGAGTTTTTTTGTCACTGGTTGTAACGCTCGTGGTGCTGGTGGGTTTGGGCTTGTGGCATGAGATTGGATGGGGAGTGCTCTTTCATACACCAACGAATCCTCAATTATGAACTCCCGTCTTACACATCTAACAACATTGATGCAACACTTCATCTCCTTTCACCGCTCAGCACCACTCTCTCACCGCTCAGCACCACTCCTATCACCACTCAGCACCACTCCTATCATCTCTCAGCACCACTCTCTCACCGCTCAGCACCACTCCCATCACCGTTCAGCACCAGTCCTATCACCGCTCGGCACCGCTCCTTTCACCGTTCAGCGCCACTCCTATCACCGCTCAGCACCACTCCCATCACCGCTCTGCACCACTCTTATCACCGCTCAGCACCACTCCTATCACCGCTCAACACCACTCCCATCACCGCTCTGCACCACTCTTATCACCGCTCAGCACCACTCTTACCACTGCTCAGCATCACTCCGATCACCTCTCAGAACCCACTTCTATCACCTCACAGCACCACTCAAATCACTGCACAGCACCGATCCTATCAGCTCTCAGCACCACTTTGTGTCCTGACTGCCGACCTCTCCCACTTCCCTAACCCCTGACCCCTCCGCCCTCCTCCTATTTGCCCCCCTCACAACACCATGCCTTATCCAGCACCCCACTGTCTCCTTCCCTCGTCCCTTTCCCACCGCCCTCCCTTTTGCGCCCCTCAAAGCACCATGTTCTATCCAGCGACCCCCCCCTCTCCCTTCCTTCCTCCCACCCCCATCAGTTCCTGCACCATGCCATTCCCCCCATCATTTCCTTCCTCGCGTGTGGCCCCCGCCCCACATCCCACATATCCCACCAGCACCACTCCATAGCGACGCTCGGCGCGCTCAACGAGGAGAGCAATCCATGCCATTCCCGCAACCAGCGGCACGTTATAGCGACGCTGAACATACTCAACGAGGGATGCCATATCCACGCCTCTACCCTTTTCCTTCCTCCTATCCCCCGTTCATGGTCCCCCTACTTATGTCATATCCACACCTCTACCCTTTCCTTCCTCCTATCCATCCCGCTATTCCTTGCCTCCACCCCGCACCAGCGCCACGCCATAGCTACACTCAACGTGTTGAACGAGGAGGGCCATGGCATACCCACACACCTACCCGTGTCCTCCTTCATACCCCTTCTCCCCCGTTCCCCTTAAACTCCCCACCAGTGCCACGCCATATCCATGCTCAACGTGCTCAACAAGGAGGGCCATGCCACAGCCACACCATTTCTTTACCTCCTCCTGTCCCCACTTAACCCCCCACCAGCGCCATGCCATTGCAACGCTCAATGTGCTCAACGAGGAGGGCAGATCCGTTGCTGCCGCGCTGCTGCTGCCCTCCGCCTGACCTGACACCCTCGTCTCCTCACTGACTCCATCTCCTCCGCACCCACACCCTCATTAGAATGTGTGCTCGCATCGTGCATGCTGCCTGCATTACGATGATGATGTGCATGCATGTGAAGTGTGTCTCTGCATTTCATGTTTGCGCTGTCACGATAGCCGGGTGTGCTGCGCTCTCTACAGTTACAACACTGTACGTAATCTATAAAGATGCAAGTTAGCTACCTTTGCCTACAACATAGACATGTATGAAACAAAACCGGATGAAACAATGTTACATTGATAACCTGCATATAATGACTCGTGCAATTGCACATGCTTCTGCCACCTCCTCCAATTCATGCCATCGTCATGTCATGTGCTACCGGCTGGTGAAACCGTCAAGAGAGCAAGTTACCCAGGCCTGGAGGCAGACACGGTACTAGAAGAACCACTTCTACTGGAACTGCAGCACGTACACCTGGTCGTCCTCAGCACAGTACCCCTCCACCAGCTTCCTGTTCACACTGTGCATCTTCTCCCACACTTTCTTGGGCCGCTTCTCCTCCTCTTCGTCATCCCACACCCCACTCTTGGCCCGCCTCACATGCTCCAGTGGCCCATTGCTCACAGGCACTCCTTTCCTCTCCCAGTAGAAGGAGCGGTCCACCACACAATAGAGCGCCAGGGCGGGGTAGTCCTGCCGCAGTGCAGCCAGTGCAGGCGCATTACACGCCTTGCGGGTGGGGAAAAAGAGGAATCACAGATTTGGAGCGCGGATGGACGGCGGCTTGAAGAAGGCCTTCAGCAGCCGCTCCCGTTCCCTTATCTTGGCGTTTATGGCTGGACCATACATTTCCCAAAACTGCCGGTTATACTTCCCACAACCATAATCACTGAAACCATCATAAGCATCATCATACTCATCCTCGTCCTCAGCATCATCATCAAACATATAGTCATCCTCATCCACTTCCTCATCTGGCTCCGAGCCGAAATAACCCGGTTCATCCGCCCAAGAAAAGCGCAACCTGCCATCGTCCAAATGCTCCTCACACTCACTCTCATCATTTGTGCTGTATCCCGTACTCCAGCTGTTTGCACGAGTATCCCTGTCCCACGGAGGCACGACAATCCCAAGGCTCAGCAACCTCCCCCACTCCGCCTCCACCTTCTTTATAGGCACCCCGTGCCTCACAATAAGCACCTCCACTGTTGGTGCTATAATGTCAAGCCATTCCGCCCAGGAAAAACCCTCCTGGTCATTGGCCGGTCCGTCCAAGTAGACAACCCCGGCGGATGCGAGGCGGAGGGAGGAGATAACAAGCTGCTCCTGGCCGTACAGCGAGAGGTGGTCGAGAGCGAGAGGGGCGGTGCTCTTGCAGGAGAGGACCAGCCGTTTGGCCACGACTGAGAGAGTCTCGAGGGAGGGCGGGACGGTGAGGGTGAGGTGCAGCTCAGTGCTGGCAAAGCGGAAGCGGAGGAGGCGGGCATTGGGGAAGGAGAAGGCGAGGGTGGTGGCGGAGGGCACGTGAGGATGTTCACGAAGCATGTTGCCGTCCTCATAAAGAGTGAACTCGTGCAGCTGCTGTGTAATAATCTCGATAAACTGGAAGCTCATGCTGCCGTAATGAACGTGCTCTAGAGTCAGCTTGCGGATCGACTTGAACCATGACGTGTTCACACATTGCCAATTGAGTTTCCACATGCCCCGCCCCAGATTCAACTCCTGCAGCTGGGCGCAGTCCTTGAGAAAACTCAGCGGCCAGGACTCGCCCTCCCCGCTCAAACCCACCTGCTCCTCTGGAGCTCCGAACGCCAGGCACTGTGCCTGCAGGGGCACGCCCTCCGAGCCACATCACGCCAACCCCAACCTGTCCCACCCACCCATTCCCCTGCTCATCCCTCCCCACACCTGCTCCCCTCCCCCCATTCCCCGCCCCACCTGCTCCTCCGGCCCTGCTTCACCCTTCCCTCTACTTGCTCCCTCCCCCCCACTCCCTCCTCACCTGCTCCTCCGGGGCTCCAAACGCCAGGCACTCCGCCAGCAGAGGCACGGCCCCACAGCGCACGGCAGTGCCAAGTGGCGGGCTGTGATTGGCCGAGAGCAGCTCACGCAGCGCCTTGAGCGCCGCCACCCGCTCCTGCTGCACGGCTGCCCCGCCTGCTCTGGCGGAGGAACCAACAGTGCCTTGCATCTCCAAGTGGAGGGACGAGAGGGAGGGGCTGCTGCGAGCGATGCAGGCGCCGAGAGTGGGGAGATGATCGGGGCGAGAAAAGCGAAGGTGAAGGGAGTGAAGATCCGGGCGGGTGAGAAAGAAGCGGACGGTCTGCGACCAGTGGGGGTTCCAATCGTTGTAAACGAGCGAGATGGGCTGGATCTCCTGCGATTGTAAGTGGGTGGGGTGGGAGAACGTGGAAGAGTGGAAGATTTGAGAGAAATGAAGTGTGAAAGTTGGCTTCTGGACACACCAGGTGCTCAGCGTCGGCAGCACAAGCAGCAACTGCAAGATTTTTTTGTTCTTGCTGCTAACGACTGTGGGAAACGTCATCCATAACATGGAAAGGTGAGAGCCAAGTGAAAGCTGAGGGCTGAAATAAAAAACCTGAAAGGTGAAATAAACGTTGAAAGATGAACTGAAGGTTGGAAATCTGAAAGGAAAGCTGAAAGCTAAACTGAAAGCTGATTTGGGACCGCACAGCTTAAAGCTGGAACTAATTCTGAAAGTTTGAATGGAACCTGAAGAGCTGAAATGATATCTGAACGCTGAAACGAAATCTGGACGCTGAAATCAAAGCTGAAAGCTGGAAAAAAAAAAAATACAAAGAGATGAAAGTCTGAATTTTAAGCTGGAAGCTGAAAGAAGAGACAAAAATGAAATATGACAGCTAGAATATGAAAGCTGAATTGAAATTTAAAAGCTGGAATGAAATCTGAAAGCTGCAACAAAAGCTGAAAGCTGAAATGAAATCTGAAAGCATAAATGAAATATGAAAGCAGAAATTAAGTCTCAAAGCTGGACTGAAATTTGAGAGTGGAAAGCGGACTCGAAACCAAATCCGAAACTGAAAGGTGAAACTGAAATGAAAGCTGAAAGCTGAAATGAGAGCAGCAATGAAATCTGAAAGCTGAAATGAAAGCTGAAAGCTGAACGAGAGCTGCAATGAAATCTGAAAAATGAAATGGAAGCTGAAAGCTGAAATGAAAGATGGAAGCTCATATTTACAGGTGCACTGAAAAAGTGCAAGATCTTCCTGGCGAAAGTGGACACGGAAAGTGAATCATGAATAGAGAGAGCTTACAGAAAAAGCAACGACGAAATTGCATAGCCTCTTGCTGGCGAGAGCGCAGCAGAGCAGAGCACATGAAGCGCCATAAGTGTCAGTGTTATCCTCGTGCTGCTCTCTGGCAGTGAGGCCCTCTTCCCGGAACACAACTGGCGGGTGATCGCGATCAACCTTGGTGTGGGTGAGATGGTCGCTAGTTTTGGTGTTAGACAACCCAGGGGTGCGGAACCATTCAACCTCACGGGCATCCAGCCGCTCTGCCTCCTTTTCTACCTCATCCTCTGCCTCTTCCTCTGATTCTTCATCTGATTCTTCCTCTGATTCTTCTTCTGTCTCGGAATCTGATTCTTCTTCTGTCTCGGAATCATCAGAGCCAGTTTCTGTATTCTTCTCCTCCCTTTGGGGGATGATAGCAGCGTCGTCCAGTTGGGAGGGTGGTTGATGCAGAAGGTGGAAGATTCGAAACCAGATAGGCGCTGGCAGCATCTCGACTGCATCAGGGGGGTTGTTGACTGCAGCATGAACCGAAAGGGAGGAAAAGCGGCTTTATGGAGACTTAACGAGACTGGCAAAAATGGGTTCACTTAAGCCTAAAAAAGAAAAATGGCGGAAAAGGGAGCTTCAACATGCACGGACCTGAAGCCTCCATCGTCTCAGCGATTCGGTTGGAGAAATTGATGGGAGAGAGCAGCGAGGGTGTAGATTTCGTGCTGGCCTTAGGCTTGATGGAGAGACTGGCACTGGCGGAAAGAACTCGGGAGGACTAGGGATAGTTGCTGCACGTATCAGAGAGGGCTAGGCACAGGAAAGACGTCAGAAGGCGAAAGCTGCTAACTCCTCAGCAAAAGTCAGTGAGCGTCAGTGAGCGTTAGTGAACGTCAGTGAATGTCAGTGAGCATCAGTGAATGTCAATGAGCGTCAGTGAGCGTCGGCATGATGGCGTTTTCCCATGTCCCGCTCGGTACCAGTGATAAGCCTTCCCTTGCTCCTTTCACAGAATATCAGAACCAAGCAAGCCACTCAAGATAGCCCTGCTCAGCCTCTGCATGATACCAAGATGCAGAGCTACGTTGCCCATTCAGTGAAACTCCCTGGTGCAAGAGCCCAGGAAATCCCCTAAGCAATGCTGCTTCACAGCAATCCTGGAGTTCTACACCCAGGCAGCACTTCAAGTCTGCAACAGCGTTAGACGCTGACCAATGGTAACGCCTAGACAGAGGGAACGAATCCTGGACACCCTCTGGTAAGCCCTCTCGTACGTGGCCGGGACCACCACCAGCACGACACGCACGCAGCCGAGACCATGTATGCCGAAACGGGGCTGTCGATCGATACCCTAGGTTCCTCCGTCGCGTCAGGATCTGCCACGCTGGTTCAGGACACATTTCACGTCGATAATTGCTGCTCGTTGGTTTTGGGATGTTCATACGGCTACAGTAGCCCCAACCTGTCGTGTAGTGCGGCCCGCGGGCAAGAAAAAACTAAACAATTTTCCTTGTTACTAGGACACTTGTTTCCGCGAACCCCCTCGTGAACGCTGGCAGCGGGAGGGGAGCGAGAAGGCACTAGCAACGGGATGAGAAACAGCGACGCCCCAATTGACGCTGGCGAAACCAGCTATCCGTCAGGCACTCAAGCACAGTGGAGTTCCCGAGGAGGAGCCACCAAGGTACAAAATGCTCATCCCTACGAATTTCCGCCCCCTGCCCTGCTTCTCCCCGACAGCGCTTCCTGAAATCCCTCGCGTCTGCTCGAACTTGGTGCGAGCGCTGGCTACCAACTTGTATAACATGGCCTGCTGAGAACAGCGTGAATCTCGTGTATGTGAGGAGATCCCAGGGCAGTAAGGTCAGGTCAGGTGTCCCCGTACGCGATAGGAAGTTGAGAAGTTCGCTCTAAGGACGGGTTTTGATCGATTGTTTTGTTCGTACTTATTGGTTTGCATTAATAAGCAAGGTCGACTCATGAATGAAACATGATTTATATGAAATCAAGTAGCATAACACTAGTAGAATATCATATAATGAATCATGCGGTTATATGTGTTCTAGCCGTACAAAACCTCACCCAATAACGAGCACCAAACAAACGTGCAAGTTACCCATACAAACGTGCAAGTTGCCCTGGCAGGCAGCGAATATTGGAAGCATCACTTCTGCTGGTACTGCAGCACATATGTCTGGTCCTCCTCAGCACAGAACCCCTCCACCAGCTTCCTGTTCACACTATGCAACTTCTCCCCCACTTTCTTGGCCCGCTTCTCGCCCTCTTCTTCATCCCACACCCCACTCTTGGCCCGCCTCACATGCTCGAATGGCACATTGCTCACAGGCACCCCTTTCCTGTGCCAGTAGAAGGAGCGGTCCACCACACAGTAGAGCGCCAGGGCGGGGTAGTCCTGCCTCAGTGCAGCCAGTGCAGGCGCATTACACGCCTTGCGGGTGGGGAAGAAGAGAAACCGCAGATTCGGAGCGCGGATGGAAGGCGGCTTAAAAACGGCCTTCATCAACCGCTCCCGTTCCCTTATCTTGGCGTTTATGGCTGGACCATACATTGCCCAAAACTGCCGGTCATAGTCATCACCACCAAAACCACCAACACCATAAACACCACCATAATCATCAGCATCATCATCATCATCATCATCATCATTATCATCATCAGCATCACCCTCATCCACATCAGCATCATCAAAGATATAGTCATCCTCATCCACTTCCTCATCCGGCTCTTCGCTAAAATAACCCAGGTCATCCGCCCAAGAAAAGCGCAACCTGCCATCGTCTAAATGCTCCTCACACTCACCCTCAGCATCTGTGCCGTATCCCATACTCCAGCTGTTTGCACGAGCATCCCTGTCCCAGGGAGGCACGACAATCCCAAGGCTCAGCAACCTCCCCCACTCCGCCTCCACCTTCTTTATAGGCACCCCGTGCCTCACTATAAGAACCTCCACTGTTGGCGCTACAATGCCAAGCCATTCTGTCCAGGAAAATCCCTCTTGGTCACTGGCAGGTCCATCCAAGTAGACAACCCTGGCGGATGCGAGGCGGAGGGAGGAGATGATAAGTCGCTCCTGGCCGTACAGTGAGAGGTGGTGGAGAGCGAGATGGGTGGTGCTCTTGCAGGAGAGGACCAGCCGTTTGGCGATCACTGAGAGAGTCTTGAGTGCTGCTGGGGACACAGAGAGGGTGAGGTGCAGCTCAGTGGCGGCAAAGCGGAAGCGGAGGAGGCGGGCATTGGGGAAGGATAAGGCGAGGCGGCTGGTGGAGGGCACGCGGGGATGTTCACGAAGCACGTTGCCATCCTCATAGAGCGTGAACTCATGCAGCTGCGGCGTGATGGACTGGAGAAACTGGAAGCTCAAGCTCTTGAAATGCACCTGTTCTAGGGTCAGATTGCGGATCGACTTGAACCATGCCGCCGCACCTGCGCACTCCCTGTTCAGAACCCACATGCCCCGACCTAGGTTCAACTCCCGCAGCTGCGCGCATTCCTTGAGGAAACCCAGCTTCCAGTAATCGTTCCCCTGGTGCTTGGAGGAACCAACAGTGCCTTGCAGCTCCAGGCGGAGGGACGAGAGGGAGGGGCTGCTGCGAGCGATGCAGGCGCCGAGAGTAGGCAGTTGGTCGGGGGAGGAGAAGCGGAGGTGAAGCGAGCGGAGGCTAGCGCGTGTGAGGAAAAAGCGGACGCTTCGCATCCAGTGCGGGTTCTGGTCGCCATAGCAGAGTGAGATGGGCTGGCTCTCCTGCAAATGTACGTGGATGGGGTGGAGAAACGTTGAAGAGTGGGAGATTTGAGACAGCTGAGGTGTGGACGTTGGTTCAAGGACAAGTGGTGCTTAGCGTCACCAGCACAACCAGCAGGTGCAAGGGTTCTTGTTACTAACGGCTGGGGGATACGTCACCCATCCTAATGCACGGAAAGGGGAGACCAAGGGACAGCTAAAAGGTGATCTGAAAGCTGAGACGAAATTTGGAAGTTGAAATGAAATCTGAAAAGGTGAAATAATATATGAAAGCTGAAATGAAATTGGAATGCTGAAATCAAAGCTGGAAGCTGAAAAAAATGTTAACAGCTGAACGGGAAGCTGAAAGCTGAACGGAAAGCTGAAAGCCTAAATCCTAAGCTGAAGCTGATTAGCTGAAATTTGAAAGCTGGAATGAAATTTGGAAGCTGGGGTGACAACAGAAAGATGTAACGAGAGCTATAAGCCGTAATGAAATCCGAAAGCATAAATCAAACATGAAAGAAGAGATTAAATCTGAAAGCTGGAATGAATTTTCAAAGCTGAAAGCAGAATTGAAGCTGAAACAAATCTGAAACTGAAACCAAGGCTGAAACTTGAAATGAAATCTGAAAGCTGAAAGGTGGAAAGAAATCTGAGGCTGAAGTGAGAGCTGAAAGCTGTTATGAAGGTTGACAACTGAAATGAGAGATGAAAGAATGAAAGATGAAATGAAATCTCAAGGAAGAAATCAAAACTGAGAACTGAAATGAAAGCTGGAGGCTGATATTTACAAGTGCATTGAGTAGGTGGTCAAGCTGAAAGGTCGAGCTGTTTTTCGCCTGGAAAAGGTGCAAGATCTTCCAGGAGAAAGTTGACAGGGAAATTCGTGACGGAGAAAAACGAATAGAGAGAGCTTACAGAGAAAGCAACAACGAGATTGAGAAGCCTCTTGCTGGCGAGCGCGCAGCAGAGCAGAGCCCATGATGCACCATAGGTGTCAGCGTTTTCCTTGTGCTGCTCTCTGGCAGCGAGGCCTTCTTCCCGAAACACAACTGGCGGACGATCGCGATCAATCTTGGTGTTGGTGAGATGGTCAGTGTGGGTGAGATGGTCGTCGGTTCCGGTTTCCCTCTGTGCGTTGCTTGCAGGGTCGCCCTGCCAGTCCCAGGCAGTGGGCCCTGCGCTGCTTGCAGGGTGGCCCGGATTGCCAAATTCGGCGTGGAACATCTGGAGAGCGTGTGCTGCGAAGGCAGTGACCCCTGTGCTGCCAGCAGGTAGGCCCAGCTGGCCCAGCTGGGAAGGAAGCCCTGTGCTGCTTGCAGGGTCGCCCTGCTGGTCCCAGGCAGTGAGCCCTGCACTGCTTGCAGAGTGACCCATCTGGCCCCAGGCGGTGATCCCTGTGCTGCTCGCAGAGTGACCCATCTGGCCCCAGGGGGTGAACTGTGTGCTGTTTGCAAGGTGGCCCGGCCGACCAAATTCGGCGTGGAACATCTGGAGAGCGCGCGCTGCGCTGCTAGCAGGCTGGCCCATCTGGCCCGAGGCAGTGAGCCCTGCACTGCTTGCAGGCTGGCCCACCTGGCCCCAGGCAGTGGCCCCTGTGCTGCTTGCAGGGAGGCCCAGCTGGGCAGTGACCCCTGTGCTGCTTGCAGGGAGGCCCAGCTGGGCAGTGACCCCTGTGCTGCTTGCAGGGAGGCCCAGCTGGGCAGTGACCCCTGTGCTGCTTGCAGGTTGGCTCGGCTGGGAAGTAAGCCCTGCGCTGCTTGCAGGCTGGCCCAGCTGGCCCCAGGCAGTGAGCCCGGCGCTGCTTGCAGGGTGGCCCCACGGCTGCCAGGCTGTGAACCCAGGAGTGCGGAACCATTCAGCCTCACGGGCCCATCGCTCTGCCATCGCAGCGGGATGCTCGGGTGTTTTCCGTTGGGCGAGGATAGCAGGGACGTCCGGTTGGGAGGGCGGCAGATGCAGACGGTGGAAGATTCGAAACCAGATAGGCGCTGGCAGCATGTCGACTGCATCAGGGGAGGTGTTGGCTGCAACATGAACCAAAAAGAAGGAGAAGGAGAGAAAAGTGAGGGTGGCGGGAACCGGGAAGGAGAAAAAGACAGGCGAGAAGGAGTGGGAAGAAAGACTTAACGGGACTGGCACAAATGGGTTTGCTTTAGCATAAATGAGGATGTCAGAATACCGTAACCAGCACAGACCTGAAGCCTCCATCTCAGCAATTTCGGTTGCAGGGGATGAGCGGGCGAGAGCGGCGAGGGTGTAAAACACGTGCTGGCCTTAGGTTTGATGGTGCTACTGGTACTGGCGGAAAGGACTCGGGAGGACAAGGAGCATTTGCTGCACATATCAGGCAGGACGAGGCACAGGAACGACGACGCTAAGCAAACTTATTAGGCAAAATCTGCGGAATCCTCAGTGAGCGTCAGTGAGCGTCAGTGAGCGTCAGTGGGCGTCGGCATGATGGCTAACACTCGCTACCTGTAAGTAGCCTTCCCTCACTACCTTTCACGGTTTGATCAGAAGCAAGCAGCCCACTCAAGAGATCCCAGCTCAGCCGCTGCAGGAACCAAAATACGGACTTCAGCGGAACTTCCTTGTGCGAGATCCAAGGAAGATTTAAAAGCAATGCAGTTTCAAGGAAACATCTGGAGTTCCACACCCAGGCAGCCTGCTACAGCGTCAGACGCTGACCAATGATGGTACGACCTAGACCCTCTGGTGAGCCCTCTCGTACGTGGCTGGGACCACCAGCAGCACGACACGCACGCAGCCGGGACCACGTATGCCGAAACGGAGTTGTCGATCGAAACCCGCTATCGCGTCAGGCTACGCCACGCTGGCTCAGAACGCATTTCCCGACGAGAATTGCTGCTCGTTGGCTGTGCTGGGAACGGCCCATGCAGCCAGGGTCTGTCGAGCTGGATCCCGCCAATCTGGCACCGAATCTACCTGCACAGCTGGCGGATTTAGTGCGCGCGAGCTATTCCACGATCATCCTTGTTACCGCGACCCGTTTCCGCGAACCCTTTCGTGAACGCTGGCAGCGGGAGGGGAGCGAGAAAAACTTCAGCGAAACAAGCACAGTGGAGTTCCCGAGGAGGAGCCAGAAGGTCCGAAATTCTCGTCCCTACGGGTTCTTCCCCCTTGCCATGAAACACTGCTGCTTCTTCGCGTCTGCTCAATAGGTTGTGCGAGAGCGTTCGCTACTGATAAACTGGCCTGATAGGAACGTCGTGAAAGCCCGCCGCGTGGCGGTCAAGCTGGAGGTGGAGCTCTCGAGAGCGGAACAGTCAGCTCACGAGTCGAAAAGTACCATCGCCGTACGCGATAGAAAGTTGAGAGTTTTGTCTGGTCGAAAGTTTGGTCTGGCAGTGATGATTTGCGGTAGTACTTACACTTTGGTGCCTAATTTGTAGTCGTAGTCGTCCAGGCGATTTCGAGCACGTTTCCTAACTGTTGCTATAGCCTTTTACCATGTTTTCGCGGATTAAAAGTACCCCAAAAGAACACTGTGAATGCACGGTGGGTTCATATTTCAGTAACGAAATCTTGCTGGCCAGAATGCTCCCAATGGAAGAGGAAGGCACAAGACTAGAACTGTCGATCGTACTTGAACGCATGCTCCTCATCTTCTTCAGCACAATATCCCTCCGCCAGTTTCCTATTCACACTGTGCATCTTCTCCCTCACATTCTTCGGCTGCTGCTTCTTGGTATACCAACACCGCAGCACCCCACTCTTCTCCCTCCTCACATGCTCCAGCGGCCCATTGCTGATGCTCGCTCCTTTCCTCTCCCAATAGAAGGAGCGGTCCACCACACAGTAGAGCGCCAGGGCGGGGTAGTCCTGCCGCAGTGCAGCCAGTGTGGCGGCGTCGCACGCCTTGCGAGAGGGGAAGAAGAGAAACCGCAGATTCGGAGCGCGGATGGAAGGGGGCTTGGCAAACCCGTTCTGCTCATGCTGCTGCTGCCTGAGCCTGGCTTCCAAATCCACACGGTAACGTGCCCGTGCCTTTTCGTACCACTCATCAGCAAATTCATCCTCTATATACCGGTAGTCGAAAACCCCCCCGAATTCTTCCTCGTCAAAATATTCTTCAAACTCATCATCCGTGAGCGTTCTTAATTTGTCCACAGTGGCCTCCCTGTCCCATAAATGCCTCCCCTTGGTGCGTACGACAATCCCAAGGCTCCTCAGCCTCCTCCACTCTGCATTCACCTCCTTAATAGGCACCCAGTGTGGCACTATAAGCACCTCCACTGTCGGCGCTATGGTGGCAAGCCAATCTGTCCAGAATAAGTCCGCGTGGACATTTTCAGGTCGGTCCACGTAAGCAACCCTGACGGATGCGAGGAGGAGGGAGCAGATAACGAGTCGCTCCTGGCCGTACAGCGAGAGGTGGTCGAGAGTGAGAGGGACGGTGCTCGTGCAGGAAAGCACGAGCCACTTGGCCATCACTGAGAGAGTCTTGAGCGTAGAAGAGACGGTGAGGGTGAGATTGAGCACCTTGCTGGAAAAGAGGAAGCGAAGGAGGCGGGCATTGGGGAAGGAAAAGTCGAGATTGCGTGAGGCAAGGCGAGGACCAAGACTCAATTCTTTCTCCTCGTAGAGCGTGAACTCGTGCAGCTGCGGTGTGATGGACTGGAGGAAATGGAAATTCACATTCTTGAAGTCTACACTCTCCAAGGTCAGCTTGCGGATCAATTTGAGCCCGGGGCACCCGCGCAGTGCTTGTTCAGAACCCACATGCCCCGCCCCAGGTTCAACTCCCGCAGCTGGGAGCAACTGCTGATAAATCCCAGCGTCCATTCCTTTGCCTCCTGCTTCTTCTTGAGAAAAAAATGCATTGCCTTGGAGCTCCAGGCGGAGCGACGTGAGGGAGGAGCTGCAGCGAGCGATGCAGGCAGCGAGGGAGGGGGTGTGAAGTAGGTCGGGGTCGGGGAAGCGGAGGTCAAGCGAGTGGAGGCCCGGGCGGGTGAGGAAGAAGCGGATGGTCTGCATCCACTGGGGGTACTGGTCATCGTACACGAGTGAGATGTGCTGGCTCTCCTGCGATTCGAGGACCGTTGTGGGAGGGTAGAAAGGAATGGGGAGAGGCGTTGGCAGCATGGAGGAGCATGGGTTGTGACGGTCGGTTCAGTGATGCCAGCAGCATGCACGCGCAGCAGGTGAACGAAATGCGGGTTCTTGTTGCTACGTCTGTCAGAAACATTTCCTCGATGCACTGAAAGCTGAAAGCTGAACACTGACATTCATGGGTGCACTTGATGGTCTGGCACATGAGAGTGAAAGAAGGTAATATATTACGGGGAGACACGAGGACTGAGAGCTTACAGAGAAAGCAACGACGAGGTGGAGAAGCCTCTTGCTGGCGAGAGCGCAGCAGAGCAGAGGCCACGAGGCACCAAAGGCGCGGGCGTCCTTCTCATACTGCTCGCCGGCTGAAAAGCCCTCTTCAGCGCGATGGTCGCTGGTTCCGCGCTGCGTGTCTCTTGCAAAGCGACGTAATTGCTTGCGGGAAAAAAACTTACGAGAGCGGAACAGCTCAAGATCATGCAGCTGCCACGGTGTGAGACGGTTGAGAGTGTGCCTCTGGCCGTGGATTGTAGGGCCGTCCGGGCGGGAGGGCGGCAGGTGCAGATGTTGGAAGATTTGAAACCAAAGAGCAGCAGGGAGCGCGTCGATTGCATCAGAGGAGGAGCTCGCTGAAAGATGAAATCGGGAAAGGGGAGGAGGAAGGGGGAGACGGGTAAAGGGAAGAGGGAGGGATGCAAGGGACTGGAATAAAGGGGTTCGATTCAACGTGATGCAACGTAAATAGGAAACATGGGTGGAAAATAAATTCCGCGATCACAAACCTGAGGCTTCCATTGTTTCAGCGAGATTCTCTTGCAAGGAGCAAGGAAGTTTGAGCGAGGGACTAGTAGTCGTCCCACGCTCTTTCCGCAAATTAGTCGGAGTCACGCGGCACGCTCAAGAAAATCATCCTAATAAGTGCAGCCAGATTCCAAGATATCCATTGCTTCATGTCCGAAGCCAAAACCCAGTCGCCGAGTGGATGAACCGTGGTGGCCCTTTGGTGAGTCCCCTCGCACTTGAGAGGAAAAGGGGGTATCACATGATCGTGGTTCTAAACGACACTACCGGTACGTATATATTGGAGTATTGGAACGCCTCGATGCTCGCCTCGGACTGCTTTGTTTGTGCTAGCGAGTAGGCTCTACTTGTTCGGAACAGATTGGCGGGGATTAGGCGTCAGGCGTGAAGCTCACCACGCAGCAGGGTGCATCAATGCTGCATGAGTTCCCCAAGGAGAAAGCAGACAGTCGGAGCAGAAATGTTTTGCCCATACGCGATAAGAAGTTTGTACCCAGGCTTTGCTCTGACTCGTTGCTGGTTTGGGTTGAAGTTCGTAACTTTCTTTTTGTCTTACTAGAATGTTTTTGGCCTCGACCCTACTCCGTGCGGGCTGCGCAAGTGCACTGCGTGCAACCCTACAACTGTGAGTGAATGCGGCATTCTGCGAGAAGAAGAAGAAGCATCACACGAGACAAGTCTTGGCGGCGACGACTGACCGACCATTCACACATCTTGCTCCCCGCCCTCACGCACGCTCGTCCTTGTAGCGCCGCGTTCCTTCCTCCAGCACCCCACAAGGCGGTACCGCGTCCGCCAGAATGAAGGCGAACCAGCAGCGCAAGCCGCCAAGCAGCAGCGGCGCCGCCTTGCCACAGAAGCGCTTCTACCGCGCTCGAGCGCACAGCAACCCGCTCAGCGATAACCTCTTCCCAGTGTAACCGTCTCTCTTATCCTCCACCGTCCGATTCAGTGTATAGCGTTTGCGCTTCCAGCCGTTAGATTGAGTCCTTCGTATGTGTCCCAACCCTCCGCTACCTTTCCTGATCGCACGTGCCATAGGCTAGTGGATGTCCAAGGCTTGTCTAAGTGCGTATCGGGAATAGAATGTCATCGCAGGAAGAGCGATCGCTGCGAGCACGGATTGCGAGCCCAAGCGGGGCTCGTTTCCTCCCAAACGGAGTCGGTAGGACGGAATGTGGTGCGCGAAGTCCCGAGGCTGCACGCGCGCCGTGCAGCAACCGTCGATCTGCGCGCCGACGAATTCGAGGTTCCTTCTGCGTGTAGCATCCGCCGTCTGCCGGCGAGTTCCGAGCTTGGCTGTTTCCCCGCTGCTGTTACCCTGACCAAGTCGAGCGAGCGCTTAGGTGCCTAGCTTAATTCACCTTTTGCTCATGTCAGTGTTTAGGGTTAGGTTTCGCGTTACGATTGGGTTGGTTTGATCTGCACATTGTCCAGCCTCGGACCAGTGTTGCAATGATTCGCATTACAGGAGGCTGCATGAGGGTTGAGGACTGGTCGATTCAACCGCGGTTTGGCCAGGTTGCGAGTTTCACGCTTGCTAGTAGCTGTCTTGTAGTGCCTCGTATGGTAACCATAACTAGCTCCCCAAAGGTTTTTGGTTCGGGGTTGCAGGGTTTTAGCATTGCCAGGCAGACGTGCAAGGAGGCGGAATGCGCTGTCCTATATCCGCATTCCCCAGCCTCCTCCCAGCCTTTCCTTTACTCATCTCCGTTTGCGCCCATCTTGCCTCCCCTGCGCCACTTCCTCTCCCCTTCCGCCCCTCTTCGTCCTCCCCCTCACCCCCCCCCCCCCCCCCCCCCCCCCCCCCCCCTCCCCCCTGACACCCTTCCGCTCTTCCCCCCCCCCCACAACCCCTCGCCCCCCATCCTCTCCCTCGTGCGCCCCACGTGCAGCCCCGTGTGCCCCGCGGAGGTGGACTGGTCCGCGCACTTCCCCGCGTTCTTCCCCCCCACTGCTGCCGCAGCACACCCGCCTGCTGTTGCTGATGGTGGCGCTGCTGCTGATGGCGCAGCAGAGGGGGAGCGAGCCCATTCAGCAGGACGAGATGGTGCGGATTCAGTCGTGGTGGTGACTGAGGGAGGGGCACTGGGTGGGGGAGATGGATGAGGCTAGGGAGTGGGTGGCGGCGAGAGCGGTGATGAGAGTGAGAGATATGGGGAGAGAGGGGTGAGGGAGAGTAGGGATGAGGGTACAGAGAGTGTGGGATGTGGGTGTATGATGAGAGAGGCGTGTTGGGTTACAAGCTGAAAGAAAGGGCTTTTTTTTATCGATCCTCCCTCTCCCTCTTCTCGTGCGGTGCAGGGGCGGCACAGCAACATGCCCCAACAAGCAGCACGGGGCAACCAATGGTTCGCTTCGCTGATGTCGGTTGCGGCTTTGGCGGCCTGCTAGGTGCGTGCGTGGGGGTTGCTGGGGGTCTTGGTTTATCTGGTGTCCATGCTGGTCTCTCTCCCAGCTCCGTGCATCTTGGCCGTGCATCTTGGCCGTGCATCTTGGCCGTGCATCTTGGCCGTGCATCTTGGCCGTGCATCTTGGCCGTGCATCTTGGCCGTGCATCTTGGCCGTGCATCTTGGCCGTGCATCTTGGCCGTGCATCTTGGCCGTGCATCTTGGCCGTGCATCTTGGCCGTGCATCTTGGCCGTGCATCTTGGCCGTGCATCTTGGCCGTGCATCTTGGCCGTGCATCTTGGCCGTGCATCTTGGCCGTGCATCTTGGCCGTGCATCTTGGCCGTGCATCTTCGCCGTGCATCTTCGCCGTGCATCTTCGCCGTGCATCTTGGCCGTGCATCTTGGCCGTGCATCTTGGCCGTGCATCTTGGCCGTGCATCTTGGCCGTGCATCTTGGCCGTGCATCTTGGCCGTGCATCTTGGCCGTGCATCTTGGCCGTGCATCTTGGCCGTGCATCTTGGCCGTGCATCTTGGCCGTGCATCTTGGCCGTGCATCTTGGCCGTGCATCTTGGCCGTGCATCTTGGCCGTGCATCTTGGCCGTGCATCTTGGCCGTGCATCTTGGCCGTGCATCTTGGCCGTGCATCTTGGCCGTGCATCTTGGCCGTGCATCTTGGCCGTGCATCTTGGCCGTGCATCTTGGCCGTGCATCTTGGCCGTGCATCTTGGCCGTGCATCTTGGCCGTGCATCTTGGCCGTGCATCTTGGCCGTGCATCTTGGCCGTGCATCTTGGCCGTGCATCTTGGCCGTGCATCTTGGCCGTGCATCTTGGCCGTGCATCTTGGCCGTGCATCTTGGCCGTGCATCTTGGCCGTGCATCTTGGCCGTGCATCTTGGCCGTGCATCTTGGCCGTGCATCTTGGCCGTGCATCTTCGCCGTGCATCTTCGCCGTGCATCTTCGCCGTGCATCTTGGCCGTGCATCTTGGCCGTGCATCTTCGCCGTGCATCTTGGCCGTGCATCTTGGCCGTGCATCTTGGCCGTGCATCTTGGCCGTGCATCTTGGCCGTGCATCTTGGCCGTGCATCTTGGCCGTGCATCTTGGCCGTGCATCTTGGCCGTGCATCTTGGCCGTGCATCTTGGCCGTGCATCTTGGCCGTGCATCTTGGCCGTGCATCTTGGCCGTGCATCTTGGCCGTGCATCTTGGCCGTGCATCTTGGCCGTGCATCTTGGCCGTGCATCTTGGCCGTGCATCTTGGCCGTGCATCTTGGCCGTGCATCTTGGCCGTGCATCTTGGCCGTGCATCTTGGCCGTGCATCTTGGCCGTGCATCTTGGCCGTGCATCTTGGCCGTGCATCTTGGCCGTGCATCTTGGCCGTGCATCTTCGCCGTGCATCTTCGCCGTGCATCTTGGCCGTGCATCTTCGCCGTGCATCTTCGCCGTGCATCTTGGCCGTGCATCTTCGCCGTGCATCTTCGCCGTGCTTCTCCGTTACTCCTCCCTCCCACCTCTCACTGACACAGTGCAGCTGCACACTGCAGCTCTCACCTCTCACAGCCTCGTCTATTTCGCTTCGCCTCCTGGTCATCATACCTTGTTGTCTCACCATTTGGCCCGTTCTCTCACCGTCTGGCCTGTTGAATATTCCGATGCTTTGGAGTCTTCTCATCTCCTCTCCACCCCCCCCTCTTTCACGGTCCGCCCCTTCCCCTCCCCCATCCCCCATCTCCCACTTTTGTCGCAGTGAAACTGTCTCCTATGTTTCCAGATACGCTGATGGTTGGATTCGAGCTACGTGACAAAGTACGCCACCCACCTGGCCGCTCATTGTGTTGGTTCAGAGTAGTGCAGGCATGATGATATGTGTGTATGTGGAAGATGGGGGTGGATGAGTGTTGTGTGTGTGTATGTGGAAGATGGGGATGGATGAGTGTTGTGTGTGTGTATGTGGAAGATGGGGGTGGATGAGTGTTGTGTGTGTGTCTGTGGAAGATGGGGGTGGATGAGTGTTGTGTGTGTGTATGTGGAAGATGGGGGTGGATGAGTGTTGTGTGTGTGTCTGTGGAAGATGGGGGTGGATGAGTGTTGTGTGTGTGTATGTGGAAGATGGGGGTGGATGAGTGTTGTGTGTGTGTATGTGGAAGATGGGGGTGGATGAGTGTTGTGTGTGTGTATGTGGAAGATGGGGGTGGATGAGTGTTGTGTGTGTGTCTGTGGAAGATGGGGGTGGATGAGTGTTGTGTGTGTGTATGTGGAAGATGGGGGTGGATGAGTGTTGTGTGTGTGTATGTGGAAGATGGGGGTGGATGAGTGTTGTGTGTGTGTCTGTGGAAGATGGGGGTGGATGAGTGTTGTGTGTGTGTATGTGGAAGATGGGGGTGGATGAGTGTTGTGTGTGTGTCTGTGGAAGATGGGGGTGGATGAGTGTTGTGTGTGTGTATGTGGAAGATGGGGGTGGATGAGTGTTGTGTGTGTGTCTGTGGAAGATGGGGGTGGATGAGTGTTGTGTGTGTGTCTGTGGAAGATGGGGGTGGATGAGTGTTGTGTGTGTGTATGTGGAAGATGGGGGTGGATGAGTGTTGTGTGTGTGTCTGTGGAAGATGGGGGTGGATGAGTGTTGTGTGTGTGTATGTGGAAGATGGGGGTGGATGAGTGTTGTGTGTGTGTCTGTGGAAGATGGGGGTGGATGAGTGTTGTGTGTGTGTATGTGGAAGATGGGGGTGGATGAGTGTTGTGTGTGTGTCTGTGGAAGATGGGGGTGGATGAGTGTTGTGTGTGTGTATGTGGAAGATGGGGGTGGATGAGTGTTGTGTGTGTGTATGTGGAAGATGGGGGTGGATGAGTGTTGTGTGTGTGTATGTGGAAGATGGGGGTGGATGAGTGTTGTGTGTGTGTATGTGGAAGATGGGGGTGGATGAGTGTTGTGTGTGTGTCTGTGGAAGATGGGGGTGGATGAGTGTTGTGTGTGTGTATGTGGAAGATGGGGGTGGATGAGTGTTGTGTGTGTGTCTGTGGAAGATGGGGGTGGATGAGTGTTGTGTGTGTGTATGTGGAAGATGGGGGTGGATGAGTGTTGTGTGTGTGTCTGTGGAAGATGGGGGTGGATGAGTGTTGTGTGTGTGTATGTGGAAGATGGGGGTGGATGAGTGTTGTGTGTGTGTATGTGGAAGATGGGGGTGGATGAGTGTTGTGTGTGTGTCTGTGGAAGATGGGGGTGGATGAGTGTTGTGTGTGTGTATGTGGAAGATGGGGGTGGATGAGTGTTGTGTGTGTGTATGTGGAAGATGGGGGTGGATGAGTGTTGTGTGTGTGTCTGTGGAAGATGGGGGTGGATGAGTGTTGTGTGTGTGTATGTGGAAGATGGGGGTGGATGATTGTTGTGTGTGTGTCTGTGGAAGATGGGGGTGGATGAGTGTTGTGTGTGTGTATGTGGAAGATGGGGGTGGATGAGTGTTGTGTGTGTGTCTGTGGAAGATGGGGGTGGATGAGTGTTGTGTGTGTGTATGTGGAAGATGGGGGTGGATGAGTGTTGTGTGTGTGTCTGTGGAAGATGGGGGTGGATGAGTGTTGTGTGTGTGTATGTGGAAGATGGGGGTGGATGAGTGTTGTGTGTGTGTCTGTGGAAGATGGGGGTGGATGAGTGTTGTGTGTGTGTATGTGCGTGTGTGTGTGCACCGTTCCCAGCTTAGCTCTTTATTAAGAATGCCTCCCTTCGCCCAGCCGTCCACTCCTCCCTCCTTGTCAACTTGCTCCCGTCAATTATCCTTTCTTGTTCCTCTCGCTCTCGCTTGCCACCTCGCGCTCTACACTACACGTTCTCGCTCCCCCCTTGGTTCAGTTGTCCCCCCTCACTTTCAGGTGAGCGCGTATGTGAAGGCTTTTGAGGTGCCTCAGAAGTGTTTTCTCGTGCTGTTATCCCCTTTTCCCCCCTTACCACACAGGTGAGCGAGTATGTGAAGGACCGCATTCTTGCTCTCAGACAGCAACACCCCTCGCAGGTACACCCCTCGCAGGTACACCCCTCGCAGGTACACCCCTCGCAGGTACACCCCTCGCAGGTACACCCCTCGCAGGTACACCCCTCTCAGGTACACCCCTCTCAGGTACACCCCTCGCAGGTACGCCCCTCGCAGGTACGCCCCTCGCAGGTACGCCCCTCGCAGGTACGCCCCTCGCAGGTACCCGCCTCCCGCGAAAGGAGTTGTGGTTTCGAACCGCAGGTCCCTGCCACCCTTTTGAGAATTCTCAGGAGTCATTCTGCCTCTCCCTTCCGCCCCTCCCCCTCTCCTTCTCACTTGTCATTTCCTTTCTCACCTGCTAGCTCAGCATCCCCTCTTTTCTCTCTTGCAACATCTCTCATTCCCCCTCTCCTTCTGTCCTGCGAGTTCTGTGCTCTTCTTGCTCAACCTTAATCCTTCTTGTTCTGTCCTTCTGATTGTTACTGTCGAACGCACTCTCTCTTGAAGGTGCCTAGAACCACTCCCCTTTCTTTCTCGTTGCTTCCCTGCCACCTCTCCTCCTCCACGTTCTGTGCCCTCATTCTGCTCTCCTCCACGTTCTGTGCCCTCATTCTGCTCTCCTCCACGTTCTGTGCCCTCATTCTGCTCTCCTCCACGTTCTGTGCCCTCATTCTGCTCTCCTCCACGTTCTGTGCCCTCATTCTGCTCTCCTCCACGTTCTGTGCCCTCATTCTGCTCTCCTCCACGTTCTGTGCCCTCATTCTGCTCTCCTCCACGTTCTGTGCCCTCATTCTGCTCTCCTCCACGTTCTGTGCCCTCATTCTGCTCTCCTCCACGTTCTGTGCCCTCATTCTGCTCTCCTCCACGTTCTGTGCCCTCATTCTGCTCTCCTCCACGTTCTGTGCCCTCATTCTGCTCTCCCTCCTCTCTCGTCTTCCCCCACACCCACCGTACACCAATGTCTTGTGACCCCTCTCCCTCGCACCCCAACCCCTCCCCAGCACACCAACATCTCATTGAACCGCACAACACACATCACACACCTCCCCAACCACTCTCGTTGAGGCGTCTCAGAACTCTCCGTTCTCGCCATCCACCTCAATACGACAACAACTTGTGGCCCCTCTCTCATTCACCCTCTCCCATCCCACCACCCCTCCACGGTCCATCAACACATTGTGACCCTTCCCTCTGCCCCTCACCCTCCTCCCTTCTCCCCGCCTCCACCAGTCCACCAACGTCGCCTAGGTCCGCACCAACGCCATGAAGTACCTTCCCAACTACTTCTCTTGACACGCCTCAACCTCTCCCCCCTTCCTCCCCCTCCCCCCCCCACCAGTACACCAACTTGTGATTGCTCCCCCTTCCCCCCTTCCCCCCCCCCCCTCCCCCCCCTTCAGTACACCAACATCTCTTTGATCCGCACCAACGCCATGAAATACCTTCCCAACTACTTCAATAAGGCGCAGGTGGGTGGGTGGGTGGGTGGGTGGGTGGGTGGGTGGGTGGGGCACAAGACACGGGTGGGCATTAACGTACACTTCAGATCCAACGTTTACCTTACCACACCTCGTCAACCTGTCTTTTTGCCTTTTCATCCCTGTAGTTCTCATCCTTCCTCCTTCCTCAACCCTCCTTCTTCCCAACCCCCTATTTTTCTCACCCACCCTCCATCCTCACCTCCACTCCTTCCTCGCCCTTCCCGTACTCACTTGCAGCTAACCAAGATGTTCTTCCTCTTCCCCGATCCGCACTTCATCGTCTTGTCTCTTTTCATCACTCTCACCCTCTCCCCTTGTCTCCCCCCCCGGCAGCTGACCAAGATGTTCTTCCTCTTCCCCGACCCGCACTTCATCGTCTTCTCTGCTTTCATCTCTCTCACCCTCTCCCCTGCTTGACTCCTTTTGTCTCGCCCCCTCCCGTGCTTGTCTCCGGCAGCTGACCAAGATGTTCTTCCTCTTCCCCGACCCGCACTTCAAGGAGAAGAACCACCGCCGCCGAATCATCACGTGAGCCACTGCATGCAGAGACACACGACTGCGTGCACCATGCCTGTCAGTCACGGGCGCCCCTAGCTAAAACTGCTGTGCTTCTCCTGCTGCATTCATCTCCTAGAGCGCCCACGACAGGAGGACAGCATGCATTGTCCGTAAATGGCTGCCCGTCTAATCCCTTTCTGCCACCGTACAACTCTGCGCTCATGCATGTGTACGTGCACGTAGGTTTACACAGGTGATGCATGCCAGCATGCACCTGCTTGGCCCCTTATAGCAGCATGTGTGCATGGCTTCGTGCTTCGTGCTTCGTTTCGTGCATGGATATGTGCGCATGCATGCTGGTGTGCGTTGCAAGCGTGCACATGCATGCCATGCCATGAGACTCGTCATGCGCTCTCCCTTCATTAATCTCTACGTCTCTGCCTGTCTGCCTGGGTGTGTGTCTCATTGCAGGACTGCTCTCTTGGCCGAGTATGCATACGTGCTGGCTCCAGGAGGTGAGTGTTGAATACTGAAACAAGTGATTCCAGCTGTCTTGCAGTGTGGCTGTCAAAGGGCCTGGAAGCATGTCTTTCAGTCAGCCTTTTGTTCTCAGAAGCCGTTTTTCGATGGCCCTGTAAGCATCAAGCTTCCATCCATCCATCCCACGCTTTCCTCTGCTCTCCCTGTGCTGATTCCTCCTCCCTTCCCCCTCTCGCCCTTCCCCCTTTATTCCCAACCTCCAAACTGAAACGTGCACACCCATTTTCCATGATGTAAGCTGCGTGGAATGGCAGTGGTTTCAAACACCTCCGCCTCCCTCCTCCACCCGTCTGTCCCCCCAGCCACTCCCCCGTCCCCCCCCCCCCATTTCACCCGCTGTGCACACCGTAACAGGCGTGCACTGCAGCATCACAGGCGTCCCTCAACTGAATATCTCGCCTGTTATGGACGTGATATTCAATTCGAGTCAACTCGAAAGCACCTCTGTCCCAACCACCCTCATCCCCCTCCCCCCCCCCCCCCCCGCATGCGAGCAGGCATACTGTACAGCATCACGGACGTGGAGGAGCTGGGTGTGTGTGCTCTCCCTGTGTTCACTCGTTTTCCCCGTCACTCTCCCCATCCCTTGTTGTCCCTCCCAACCCAACCTATGTGCACGAGCAGGCATCCTATACAGCATCACGGACGTGGAGGAGCTGGGTGTGTGGATGGACGAGCACCTGGCAGCTCACCCGCTCTTCCGCAAGCTCACTGCCGCCCAGATGGTGAGCTCTCTGCCGCCCAGATGGTGAGCTCACTGCCGCCCAGATGGTGAGCTCACTGCCGCCCAGATGGTGAGCTCACTGCCGCCCAGATGGTGAGCTCTCTGCCGCCCAGATGGTGAGCTCACTGCCGCCCAGATGGTGAGCTCTCTGCCGCCCAGATGGTGAGCTCACTGCCGCCCAGATGGTGAGCTCACTGCCGCCCAGATGATGAGCTCACTGCCGCCCAGATGGTGAGCTCACTGCCGCCCAGATGGTGAGCTCTCTGCCGCCCAGATGGTGAGCTCACTGCCGCCCAGATGGTGAGCTCACTGCCGCCCAGATGGTGAGCTCACTGCCGCCCAGATGGTGAGCTCACTGCCGCCCAGATGGTGAGCTCACTGCCGCCCAGATGGTGAGCTCTCTGCCGCCCAGATGGTGAGCTCACTGCCGCCCAGATGGTGAGCTCACTGCCGCCCAGATGGTGAGCTCACTGCCGCCCAGATGGTGAGCTCTCTGCCGCCCAGATGGTGAGCTCACTGCCGCCCAGATGGTGAGCTCACTGCCGCCCAGATGGTGAGCTCACTGCCGCCCAGATGGTGAGCTCACTGCCGCCCAGATGGTGAGCTCTCTGCCGCCCAGATGGTGAGCTCACTGCCGCCCAGATGGTGAGCTCACTGCCGCCCAGATGGTGAGCTCACTGCCGCCCAGATGGTGAGCTCTCTGCCGCCCAGATGGTGAGCTCTCTGCCGCCCAGATGGTGAGCTCACTGCCGCCCAGATGGTGAGCTCACTGCCGCCCAGATGGTGAGCTCACTGCCGCCCAGATGGTGAGCTCACTGCCGCCCAGATGGTGAGCTCACTGCCGCCCAGATGGTGAGCTCACTGCCGCCCAGATGGTGAGCTCACTGCCGCCCAGATGGTGAGCTCTCTGCCGCCCAGATGGTGAGCTCTCTGCCGCCCAGATGGTGAGCTCACTGCCGCCCAGATGGTGAGCTCACTGCCGCCCAGATGGTGAGCTCTCTGCCGCCCAGATGGTGAGCTCACTGCCGCCCAGATGGTGAGCTCTCTGCCGCCCAGATGGTGAGCTCACTGCCGCCCAGATGGTGAGCTCACTGCCGCCCAGATGGTGAGCTCTCTGCCGCCCAGATGGTGAGCTCACTGCCGCCCAGATGGTGAGCTCACTGCCGCCCAGATGGTGAGCTCACTGCCGCCCAGATGGTGAGCTCACTGCCGCCCAGATGGTGAGCTCACTGCCGCCCAGATGGTGAGCTCACTGCCGCCCAGATGGTGAGCTCACTGCCGCCCAGATGGTGAGCTCACTGCCGCCCAGATGGTGAGCTCTCTGCCGCCCAGATGGTGAGCTCTCTGCCGCCCAGATGGTGAGCTCTCTGCCGCCCAGATGGTGAGCTCTCTGCCGCCCAGATGGTGAGCTCTCTGCCGCCCACATGGTGAGCTCTCTGCCGCCCACATGGTGAGCTCTCTGCCGCCCACATGGTGAGCTCTCTGCCGCCCACATGGTGAGCTCTCTGCCGCCCACATGGTGAGCTCTCTGCCGCCCACATGGTGAGCTCTCTGCCGCCCACATGGTGAGCTCTCTGCCGCCCACATGGTGAGCTCTCTGCCGCCCACATGGTGAGCTCTCTGCCGCCCACATGGTGAGCTCTCTGCCGCCCACATGGTGAGCTCTCTGCCGCCCACATGGTGAGCTCTCTGCCGCCCACATGGTGAGCTCTCTGCCGCCCACATGGTGAGCTCTCTGCCGCCCACATGGTGAGCTCTCTGCCGCCCACATGGTGAGCTCTCTGCCGCCCACATGGTGAGCTCTCTGCCGCCCACATGGTGAGCTCACTGTGACGGGTCTTTCTCCTGTGGTGTGCTGTACCGCGCCTACCACCAGTGCTGCTGATTGCACCCCTCTGTGTAATTGCTGCTGTTCACCCGTATGGATGCATGAGAAATGCGAATTCTCTATGTGTGTCCCTGTGATGGCGTGGGTTGCTTGCTGTGCTCTGTGCATGGATGCTGTTCCCGGGTGCCTGGGCGTGCATGTGTGTGCATGGGAACCACAGGAGGCGGATCCGGTCATTCCGTTGCTCTCCACGTCCTCAGAGGAAGGCCTGAAGGTCAGCTGTGTGCCACTTTGCCTTACATCATCAAAAGCTCAGGATAGAGCAGTGAATGCAGTCAAAACACTCCTCCTTCCCTTCCTGTGGCCGTGTCTGCAATTTGCTATGCTGCATGCTGAAACGACGTAGGCTTGTTGGTGATTGGTTGGGAGGTAGTTCCTCTTTGCAAGTGAATGCTCGTACCATGTTTGCCATGACGGGAACTGCATACCCCTCACCCCATGCCGCTCACCCCATGCCCCTCACCCCATGCCTCTCACCTGTCAACCTCCTGTGCGCTTCCATTGTTCCTGCTGGTCCCGGTTGCCTGTCACACACCCTTCAGGTGCAAAGAAACGGCGGGCGCACGTTTTTGGCGGTGTATGAGCGGGTTGCTGCTCCTGCAACTAACACAGCATGAGGGATGTACTTGCTTTGGCACCTTCAAAGCAGGTCGCTGTCGCTGCCGCCACGAAAGCATGGCAACCTCGTGGCTTTCACGGCTCACGGATGGAATTGCTGGAGGCTTTGCTCTTTTCAGGGTGCCTCGGCTGTTATCAAGCATGCGCCCACTACAATCCCAGTTACGGTACGGTTTCCTCGTGGCTGTCCACTGGGAATGGAAGGAAGTACAGGCGAACAAAAATTGGGCAATAAATGTCGAGCAAAATCACAAGGATGGTGCATCGTGTTGTAACAGGACTTGCTTTCTGCCAAGGAATGTCGTCACCTTGCAAATGGCAGTGGTTGGAAACATTCTTGTCGTTTCCCACTCTTGCAACCAAAATGTTACCGTGTGTACAACTGATTGTGAACACAGATGCCTTTCATCCAAAGGATTTGTACCATTATTGTCATCATTGCCACACCCGTAATTCTCATGAATTTGAACCGTGGACCTAGGTACCATAAATCATCCGGGAGATTACTGTAATACCTTCTTACCATACTACATTGAACTTCAAGAGTAGACTTCTCTAAATAATCCTAGGGCTTCATCCCATCCCAACGATTCTCATAACAATCTCGTGGCATCAACAGCTGCACCACCAGCAGAGCCAGAACCACCACCACAGCTGTGCCGCTGCAAATCTCTGCCTCCACTCGCCCTGCTAGATTTGCAGCGTGCGCCCTCTCTACAAGTGCACAGTGAGCAGCACCAGTGAGAAACACACCACCACCACCATAGCACGTTAAACGCAAGCAGCAGCAGCATCAGTGCCCTAGCAGAATTCTGCCACTGCATTCTCGCTCTCCCCTCGCCTGCCCTCTTCACACGCGTGGTGCATCCCCCACATTGATCCACATGAACGTATAACTGACTAATGTATACCTGTGCCAATACCTCACCAACATGCATGATCAGCGCCAAATGATGGTAATATGAGTCACCATCACCACCACCATTACACGCACCCTCAACACTGGCCTTATCACCTCCCCTCCCCTCCCCTCAAATCTGCTGCTGCCACCGCTGCACAATCTGCTGTTACTGTTGCTGCCCCCCCTACAGCTGCTCCTGCTAAACCCTACAGCTAGCATTGCCCATCCCCTGCTTTCCTAGCAGCTCGTGCCAGTTCCACGTGCTCAGCAAAGAAAAGAACCCCTCCACACCCACTTCCATGATCACATCACAACCCTCTTTGCGATCGTCGGCGTTGGATGACTCAACATTGCCTCAGTCCATGCACCCTCCGCTGCTTCCCCTGTTGCTGTTTCTGCTGCTGTCTCTGCTGCAGCTGCTGTTGCACCCCCTACTTCTGCTTCTGATAAACCCTACAGCTAGCATTGCCCGTCCGCTGCCTTCTTAGCAGCTCTGGCCCGTTCCACATGCTCAGCTGAGAACGGAAACCCATCCGCGCCCACTTCCATGATCACATCGCGTCCCTCCCTCGTGATGGTCGGTGTTGGGTGCTTCAACATCGCCTCGTTCCATGCACCCTCCGCTGCTGCCTCTGCTGCGGTAGCTGCTGCGGAGTTATCGAGGAACACTATAGAGGGGATGGCTTTGGACGAAAACCTTTCTACTAGCGCGTCTCTGGTCGCCTTATCCGCGAACGGCACGGCCAGCCACGGCACCCCTTTCACCGATTCGAGAAACTCCCGCTCGTTAGTGTCACACGAGACATAAACCACCTCCAGAGCGTGCTTCCCGTGTTTCTCGCTGATCCCGTGATACGCGGACGTCAGTCGCTGCAGCAACGGCTCGCACGGGGGGCACCAAGCCGCGCCGAAATAAAGCCCCACCACGCGCTTCCCCGCCAGGCTATCCGCGATTCGTTCCTTAGCGAGCGCTGCATCCAACGGCTCTCCTGACTCGCCGCCGCCGCCACCTACACAGCCGCCGCCTCGCAGCAGCCAATCGCGATCGTTCGTCGCGAGAAGCGCGCCGAGCTGCTGCTCCTTCGCGTCGCGATCGGCTTTCGCCGCCTCCAGCTCCGCGATTCGCGCCGGAGTGAACGGCCACGCGTCGCTGCCGTACGCTTCTAGAACCTCCGCGCCGCGCCTTAATAACGGGCGGCCCGTGCTGTCGAACAACGCGAGCCCGTCCGCCGACGACGTGACTATATCGAGCGCCACGGAGAGCGTCTGCGCGGCCTCGGTAAGAACCCCTTCGAGCGACTCGACATCTGACGGCACGCACGGCACCGCGATCCACGGCGGCTGCGACGGGATCGCGGGACCCGTGGGGCCGTTGGGGAGCCGCTCCTTCGCCGCAAGCTTTAAGAGCGACTGCTGCACCTCTTTCTCCTCGACGTCTGATTGGACCAGCACCACCACTTGCAGCTTCCGCTCCGCTTCGCCGCTCCCCCCCGCGCCACTCGCTTCCGCCTCCGCCAATCCGCGGCAGACCTCCGCGAGCTTCTGCACCTTGGGCACGGCGCTCTCGAGGGGCTCGCGGCCCGTGATGAGCGCAACGGGGAAGCCCGCCACGCGCGCGGAGAGCGAGTCGGCGGAGAGCCCGTGCAGGTCGATGCACGGGGGCGAGTAGGTGCGGTCGATGAGGCGGAGGATGTTGGCTAGCGGCGGGAGGCGAATGCTGGCGTCCATGTTGCCTGTATGAGCAGACAACACCTGCTGTGATCTGGAAGAGCACAAGGGAGGAAGGATTTGGGAGGACAGAAGAAGCGGTTTGTGTGAGTTATTACAGTCCCCATTCTTGTTATAAGTTGTACGGTGTTATCGCACTACGCTCAGAGGGCGATATAGGGATGTAAAGATAGTGTAATCAAATGTCACTACCATATTGCATACGAAGTCGGACGCACACATGCTTACCGTTAGTAAGCCTCATTGATTCAAAAAACAAGCCACTGTTACAGGATTGGCTAGGGCCAATTCACTACTAGGCCGGTCTGCATCAGATGGAATTAGTCTGATATCGATGTCCCTTGTTGGGGACGATGTTTAGTAGGTGAACATATCATTAACCACATTCGAAACAAGACAGTGTCAGTACCGCGGAAATCTGTAGTAGGCATTTATTCCATGCTCTGTAAACGCTGAATGGCGAGGTGAGGGTCAAGCATCCCTAGAGAACCCCGTTACTAGTAGATCTGGTTCGGTATGGTCCCATTTTGAATAAAACAAGATCAGCCTGCCAGATAGTTCGTGTAGTAACGGCGCGAAAGGGGTTGCACGGAAGTTCGTTAGACGGCAGCGCGGAGGTCAATGTAAACCGCAAGCAATGCCTCGCGCCGTGCGCGCATGTTCCTGGTAATCTCTTCCCCCCCTACCAGAGCGATGCCATGCTGCGCCTACCCACAGTCATGCGTCCTTCACACCACACCCGCCGCCGCCGCTTCACTCGCTGCTCTCCGTCTCGCTTAGCTCGTCGCGTCAGTCTCGTCCTCGTCGCAGCATGCCTCGCTGTAAGGGCAACTTTTAAAGATTCCCTTCCCCCGCCGCGCTCCCTAACCCGTTGCCCCTGAAATCCCACCTCAAAGCGGCGTCGCGCGGCGGGTGAGTCCACGGCGCGGCGCGTTCACTCCCTCTCTCCCACCCCCTCCCACTCACCACTTTCCGCCATGCGGCCCCTCCCTGCCCTTCCGCGCGCAGGCATGCAGCGCGGAGCGCGGCGCGGCGCGGCCAGGGTCGATCCTGGCGGGGTTCGAGTATCCGGAGCACGTGTGCGGGGTGGCGTGGCGCGACGAGTACGTGCAGCTCCACGCGCGCATTAGAGCCGCCAGCCGCGACGCGTGGCGCGCGCGACAGCCACCAGGTAGCGTGGGGCGGTAAGGCGGAGCGCGTGACGATGCGGGTTTTATCTAGTGTGACTGTTAGTGGTGCGAGAAGCGGAGGTGCAGACGCGTAGTTGCGGGGACAGGAAGCAGGGGCAGGGCGCGGCGAGCACGTGCGGGTGGATGCGTGTGTACCCACGCACTGCTCCGCCATCTTCTCCCCGTCCCCCTGCGCAGGTTCCCCGTCTCCCGCGCCTTCGCCAGCGCCAGCACCAGCGCCAGCGCCCGCCGCATCACACGAATCGCCGCCCCTCCCCTCCGCGCCGCCGCCACAGCCCGCCGCCACGTCGCGCAGGCGCCTGGCGGACCACTATCCCCCCGACATCGACAAGCCCGCGGAACCTGCAGCCGCGGACGACTCTGCCGCAGCTGACGATTCTGACGCACCACCGGCAGTGCGCTTCCTGACGTACGACTGGTACGACTGGTGCAGGGGGGATCGGCGACTACCTCATCAGGCTCGTCTCCATCTTCCTTTTTTTGAGAATCTGTTTTTTTTTTTTTTTTTTTTTTTCAATCTGTTTTTTAAATCTGGTTTTTGAATCCGTGTAATGAGAATTCTCAAAAAACAGGTACGGCACGTGCGGGGGCATCGGCGACTACCTGATCGGGCTCGTCTCCATCTTCCCCGCCGCGCTGCTCGACCGCCGTGCGCTGCTCGTGGCGCAGCCCTGCATGCACGCCGCCTTCCGCTCGCCACACATCGACACCGCGCTCTCCCCCGACGTGCCCATGGGCGG